TTTTTTCTGCATGTAGAAGGAGTAGGTGTTTGTGGGCAACTTGATCTCTCTGAACTGGCGTTCGCGAAGGAACCCGCTGATGGGTACGACAATGGCATTCTCACTCTGCGTCCGGCTGATGCAGGGCAGATTATGGTGTCTTTGTGGAGGGTTCTCGCACTGAGGATCTTACATAAACTCTTCTCATGATCTCGTCTTTCTGCAGGTCATTTTGGCTCTGGTGTTGCCTCCTACTTCATATTCTTGAGATGGTTGTTTGGAATTAACATCGTCCTCGCCGCGATGACGGGTGCTTTCATTGTCATTCCAGAGGTGAGCACCGGCTCAGGAGAGAAAGAAGTGCCCTTGGTTAAGAAGACGGCAAAGCGGTAGCATAAAATGATGGCCCTCCCGGTCCTTGCGGGGAGGGTGCTGCATGTGTTGACACAGGGCTCGGCTGCTTTTCTGCAAAGCCTATGAAGCAAATATTTGAGGCTTTCTGGTCCATTTGGTCTCTGTCGCCACTCCCCAAACCAGCCACAGAGCACAAAATCGGCCATAGGTAATATATCAAGCAATGAATGTGGCCGTGTTCCAATAAAATTTTATTTATGAGTATTAAAATTTGAACTTTATATAATTATGTGTCACAAAATACTATTCTTTTGATTTTTTTTCCCCCAACCGTTTAAAAATGCAAGAACCATTCTTAGCTCTTGGGCCACACAAAAAGAGCTGATGGGCTGGGTCTGGCCTGTGGGCCACTTTGCGAACCCAGTGTTATTATAAAATAAAATCCATTTTTCAACTAAACTCCATCTTCACACAGTAAGTGGGCCATGTCCCATCTATCATAGAAATCTAGGGACTTCAATAACCCACCCATAGAAGCCACGTCCAGCCCAGAGACAGCACACACACCCAGGCAGACCCTGAAGAGTCAAAAAGAAAACCCGCCTAGCCGTGATGGATGCCCCGCCAGCGAGAAGGAGGCAGAAGCCACCCCCAGAGATCTCCTACGTGTGGCATCTTCACAGGCATACGGAGATTGACCTCCCCTCTTCTCCTGTCCCCCCACCCAGAAGGGTGCATGACACCCTCTCCTCTCTCGCCAGCTGATCGCGGGCCAGCCCTTTGGCAGCACAGCCAGGAAGACCATCCCCAAGGAGCAGGTGGCCTCCGCCCAAGACCTGGACACCGTCTGGTCCCTGGGGGTGAGGCTGACGCTTGGCCACACTCTGGCCTTGAGGGAGGGGTGAAGGGGCCACAGCCCTGGGACCTGGGAACCAGAAATGACACGGAGCATTCTCTTTGCAGGGCTACCTCCAGTACTCGGTCCTCTTCTACGGCTACTACGGCAGGGAGCGCAGGATTGGGAGAGCCGGCTATCGGCTGCCCTTGGCGTACTTCCTGGTGGGGATGGCCGTGTTTGCTTACAGCTTCATCATTCTTCTAAAAAAGTACGACAGCTCAATTTCTCAAACTGTGTCTCTAGAATCATGACATGTGTGATCTCAGGCAAGCTTGTCAATAATTCTGTAAAGTTAAGGAATAAAACTAACTGTACCCATTTCACAGATGAGAAGACCAAGGCTAAAAGAGGTATGTTCATTTTTAACCAGTACTTACTGAACACGTCTTGCCTTGTGCTAGGATCCGCATTGGGTCTGGAGAGACAAGAGTCGTATAAACTAACCAGTTAATGTAATTCGAGACGATCTAGTAGCTGCACTAATGGAGGGAGAGACACTATGACCTAGGTGACCGGAGGTTGCCTTGTCTGTAAGTTTGCTAAGACCTAGCTACAATTCTGCAAAGGCCAGGCTCGACTGTGCTATGTGCAGTGCCACCTGTGCTCTGTCACTGAGAGGACTTACCCGGCCGGGGTCAGGAGTGCCCCCACCCCACTGTAAGACCTGCAGCAACTCACCGTCCCTCCCTGGGCCTCGTCTGTAAACTGTGCAGAAGGGCTCACGAAGTCCCCCATTTCCCTCCCAGCCTAACCTGTGCTTCCGTGCGGGAGCCCGGTACATGCAGACTGACAGGGAGGCTCCAAGCCCATCTTGGCTGCCTGCCGCTCCTGTCTGATCTGGACACCCCCCTTCTCTGCTGCGCCCACGTGGCTTGTTAGCAAAGTGCAGAGAGAAGAGCTTGGCATAAAAACACAAGACAATAAACCAATAAGCAAGTAAAACCTGAGGAGGTGCACAGTGACTTGGGGGCCTTCGGTTCCCCCAGAGCTTCCCAGCTTAGCTCCTGGTGGCCCCACCTGGGAGACTCAGGCCCTTTCCTAGACGCTGCAATTTAACACTGACTGCCACGTGAGTTGTATTTAACTCAGCCTAGTTTTGAGCCCAGAGCTGCGTGAAGCAAAATCCTACAGTTGGTTCGTGAAAATCTTCCTTGTTGATGTTCTTATTGTTACAATTAATATTGACGATTTAATTCTAAAAACATGGAGTACGTTACATATAACTCACGCACAGAAAACAATAAAAAATAAACACATTAGAAAGGATCATTTTGTTTTAATAAAACACTGTGGCCCCGGGGAAATTTTTTTTTTTCCTAGTGTGGCAGTCAGCGTGCCGAGAGACGAATCAGAGCGAACTGGAGAGCAAGTCTGGACAGAGGGCAAAGAGCTCGTGACGGGGAAATGCTCTGCAGAGCAGGGAGTTTCCCCTCGGAGGGACCCTGATTCCTGCCTTCAAATATCTAAAGGAATGTCACGTGCTAGGGGGACCCCACGTATTCCATGGGGCCCCAAGGGGTAGAGTTTCCATGGGCAGGAGCCCCGAGACTGATTCAGCTTAAAGGATTTTATTTCATAACCACAGCTACCTAGAGGTGGGAATAGCTGGCTCCCGGGGGACACACGTCTGCAGGGACCTTGTCCTTGTCAAATGGACTCACGCAACAACAGGCCACTGCGGTTTTCACACCGTTCAGGGTGCTGGCCCAGGGCACAAGTGTGGACTGAAATCCAGCCGGTGCCCGGCAGTGACCTGAGAAGCTGCGGCCACCCAGGAGGGGCAGCTTTTCCCAACTCACACCAAGGCCCCGTGGGGGCGAGCTCATTCCTGCGACTCCTGTGACCCCTTCTGGCTCCTCTTTCGCAGGATGGCTAAGAACTCCCGCACCAGCCTGGCCAGCGCCTCCAGAGAAAACTACACCTTCTGCTGGCGGGTGTTTTGCGCCTGGGATTACCTCATCGGAAACCCAGAGGCAGCGGAGAGCAAGACGGCTGCCATCGTGAACAGCATCAGGGTGAGCGACCTGTGCAGGCCTCGGGGCGGGCACTGTGGGGTCCGGGCTCTGAGACCAGGTGTCAGTCACGGCTGCCCTCTGAGGGCAGGCAGCACCGACCTCCTCCCAGGTGCTCATCGTCCAGGGCAGCTGTTTGCAAAGCAAGCTGAGCATGCCCCAGGAAACGCACCACATGATCCCACAGAGTACAGGAAGAACATTCTGGAGCTTCTCTTTGTTTTTAATTTTTTTACTCCATCCTTCTAAATTTTCGGTTTGTATGTTTGATAATTTACACAATGGATTATTACCGTGTTGCATGTACGTAACCTGAAAAGGAATAAATACATAAATGTGGGGACTATACATTTTATTTTTAGCTTAGAAGACAAGTCAGTCCAAAGCATTCGGAGGCTTGGGTCTCCTGAACTACACAGACAGCTAGACGGTGCCCTATTTTGAGAAAAAAAAAGGTATTTAGATAATTTAAATCATCATACCCATACCACGTCCATTTCCTCTTTCCAATCCCCAATTTCCTTTTCTCAACTACTTATTAGATAATTGATATTAAATTCATTTATATCAATAGAATCTTACAGAATAAAGTCTTAGACATTGAAGATATGAGTTAAATTATTGGATAAATTATTTCTGATGATTTATGATTAACACATTGACCGCCACACACACACACACACACACACACACACACACAGACAATTTCTGATAATTTATGATTAACACATTGACCGCCACACACACACACACACACACACACACACACACAAAACCAGAAACTTTTCCTTGGGGACACAGTGTTTTATTACAAAAATAGAATGAAAACTTCAAGTGTAACTTAAAGGTAAACATAAATAGAAAAATGAAGTGTATTGACTTCTATTCATTTAATCCATGTTTTCAGAATTAAATTGTCTTCTAATTGATTATAACAATAAGACATCAACAAGTAAGGTTTTATACGTGCTTCCCGTGTCCCCGGGGAAAAGACTCCAGTGAGTTAAATACGAGTCTCGTGGCAGTGAACGTGTTAATGATGCTGCTAAGCTTTTGACGCCGTGTGTGTTTTTCCTTAAAGGAGGCTATACTGGAAGAACAGGAAAAGAAGAAAAGCAAAAACCTGTAGGTATTAATACTCATGTTCAATTCATTGATAAGTTTTGTTTGCATTTGGTACAAAAATTACAAGATGATCTGCGTCCTATTTTCGCAATCGCCAGGCGGCTGCTCTTTCTTCTCAATGTCCGTCCTTCTAGCAATGTGCTCCGAGGGAACTGGTGACTTTTCTGTGGCAGTATTTAGGAGCGTGTCCTCCTCCTGCGGCCCTGTGACAAGGGGAGAGGTCCGAAGCTGACCGACTTCCTAGTCTTTTACTTAGATAAGAAGGGAGATATTTTGAACACCACCTTCTAGTTTGCTAAGTGAAGCAACTATACGAATGTCGTTAATACTCGTTCTATTTAGAAACGAGTCTCTGGAGTCATAACACACAGAAGTTATCTGGCTGTGCTCACGAACCACCCCCCCAGGCGACTACCGAGTTTTGAGGCTCTTCTCACATCTCAAGAGCTATGCGGTGAGGGGAGGCCCTTCTGTCAGAGCTGGTGAGGCCACTCCCAGGAAGGGCAATGGCCCTGTCCTCACGGGGACAGACACATCTGCTCGTCCCCATCCTTGCTGGGTCTTCAGCGCTCACGACTAGTTTCTGCAGTGTGGAAAGCCCCTTCAGAGGACTGGTGTAGACAAGGACGTGGGGACTGAGGACACACACCCGGCCTCTGGGACAAGGAGAGGCAGCAAGGGGAGTTGAGTTGGGAAAGACTGTCTGCAGGCAGCCAGAGAATGGACTGCAGCCCTCCCTGTCATTCATATCCACGAAACACCCGTGACCTTGTGAGCCTGCACCCCTCACCCAGGAAGTGAAAACATGGGATTCTGCCCTCTTGATTCTTTATCTGTAGGTCTCCTCCACCACAGTTGGTCATAATAATATCATAGGGTGCCATGTGTTTACTTTTACCAAGCAAGGTGACATCGATCATTTCATCTGGGAGTGAGGTCCTCATTGTGCAGAGGAAGGGCAGACACACATGCAGAGGAGGTACCACAACCTGCCCAAGGTCCCCAGCAGGGGAAATCTCACAGAACACATGATTCACCTCTCGGCCACACCTTCCTCCAGCCCCTGCTGCCGGGCAGGGCTGTGCAGGCTGCCACCAGGGGCACACGTGTACCCCTTGCTGGCGTCCTTGCCTGGTGCCCAGGGAGCCTCTGCGGCTGCAGCGTGGGGTGCCCACGGGGTTCCAGGCAACACGCACACACGTGCAACCGAGAGGCTGGGTGTAATGCTAGAGTTCATGCTCATAGAGTCCCCTGGACACAGGCAGTGGGAGAAATGTTTTTCTATTTCGCACTGGGCAGGCAGTTCCGAGAGGCATTTCATGGGCCCCTCAGAAGGTCCTGCAGTTGCCTCTGCACAGCCAACTCCAGCACCTGTTCTGGGGCCGATGGCTTCTCCCTCCTGCTCCCCTCCCCCAGACCAGAACCTCCGCTTTCTGAGCTCACGTCTCAGATGAACTATTCATACCTGCAGAAAGGCCTGGGGTTCTCTTTCCGGGTACACCAAGCTAAGACAGGCTCCAAAGCTGGCAGGAGAAGATGCCTTAAAAATATGACAACTGAAGTCAGACAGTGAGTTGTCCTCTGGTGTTAGAAACAATGGACGTGTTTCAGATAAAACTGGAAACATATATGTAAATACTAGAATCGCCACTCATTCGGAGATCTGCCCATACTAAGAGGCATGCAGGAAGGGAGACCCAGCGAGGAAGAGATGAGCCCCATGTCCTATCTTGTGGTCGTTTAGCTGCTCCTTTATTTACTCATTCATTTATTTATTAAGCGCCTGCATGTGCTAAGCCTGTTCTAAGAGCTGAGGATACAGCGGTGAAAAAGACTAAACAGTTTGAGAGCAAACTTCTAGAGGGAAAATAGCTAAGGAACTACCAGGGAAATAGAATCACGCTCTCACAGCAACAGGGACACGGTCAGAGAAATGTCTTTAGCACTGTCATTGTTGAGGGAACGTCACGGAGTGTACTTACAGATCCCTAAATGGCATAGCCTACTGCACACCGAGGCTGTGTGGCACAGCCTGTTGCTCCAAGCTACAAACCTGCACAGCGTGTCACTGTACTGAATGCTGTAGGTGACTATAACACAGTGCTAAGTATCTGTGTATCTAAACAGAGCTAAACATAGAAAGCTATAGTGAAAATATGGCATAAGATAAAAGACGCTGTACCTGCGCAGGGCACTTACCACGAATGGAGCTCGCAGGACTGAATTGCTCTGGGTGAGCCCGTGAGTGCGGAGGCCTCGGACGTTACTGCGCACGGCTCTAGACTTTATCAACACTGCACACTGAGGCTACACCAAATTTATTTTTTTTAAAGTTTCTTTCTTCAATAACAAATTTACCTTAGTTCTTTAGTTTACTGTCACTTTTTTACATTAAAAACTTTTCAATTTTTTAAAACTTTTTGACTCTTTTGTAATAACACTTAGCTTAAGACACAAATACATTGTAGAGCTGTACAAAATTATTCTTTCTTTATATCCATATTCTATAAGCTTTTGTCTATTTTTATTTCATTTTTTTACTTTTCAAACTGTTTTGTTAAAAACTGACACACCAGCACACACATCAGCCTAGGCCCACACAGGGTCAGCGTCATCAATATCACCGCCTTCCACCTCCACATCTTGTCCCACTGGAAGGACTTTGGGGACAACAACACACAGGACAATAATAACAGCTGTCAACTCCTGTGATAACAATGCCTTCTTCTGGAACACCTCCTGAAGGACCTGCCTGAGGCTGTTTTACACTTAACTTTTTTAAAAATAAATACAAGGAGTGCGCTCGAAAATAATGATCAAAAGTATAGTAAATACCAAACCAGTGGCACAGTCCCTTATTATCAGTATTATGCACTGCATGTAATTGTATGTGCTATAATTTCATGCGACTGGCACATGTGGGTTTGTTCACACCAGCGTCACCACAAACACACGAGCAATTTGTTGCACTGCGATGTCACCAGGCAACAGAGATTTTTCAGCTCCATTATAATCTTCTGGGACCACCATCAGTCTGTTGTTGACCAAAACATTGTTACATGGCACATGACTGTGTATGGTACGTCGGGTTCATTATATGGAATGACAGGCAGAATCAGTCGTCCTCCCTCCCTCCCACCCCTTCCCTCCTTCCTTCCGTCCCTCACTCTTTCTGCTGAACACGTTTACTTGAACTCCTGTATCTTAAATGCACCAACTACAGGACTCCAATTTTAAGTAGGAAAAAACTGAAACCCAAACACCTGGACGCTAAACGCAGTGTGGTTGTTTACCTGTTTAAAGCCTCGTTGATGCTGGCCAGTTGCATTTATGACGCGTTGTCGATCTCTTAGGAGATGAGGGATTCCAGTGGGTAAGGAAAGAGCCCTGACTCTTCAGGGCAGGGAATCCCCTTAGCCGCATGCTTCAGTCCCCAAGTCTGTGCGTGGTGGTGCTCTGAGCACACCTGCCTCTCCCCCAGGGCAGTGACCATCTGCCTGAGGATCATCGCCAACATCCTGGTGCTGCTGTCGCTGGCTGGGAGCATCTACCTCATCTACTTCGTGGTGGACCGGTCCCAGAAGCTGGAGCAGTCCAAGAAGGAGCTGACGCTTTGGGAAAAGAATGAGGTACCACTGCCATTACCCGCGGCACCCTCCAGAAGAGACGCAGAAGTAGCCCAGCCCTCTGTTTCTTAAGTGCGTACGGTAGTGACATCTCTAGGGAGAAAGTCTAGTCCTCCCCTCCTAGAGCAGGGACTATGGGGCTCTGAGCCAGAGTGGCAGCACCACGTCTCGGCGAAATGATTTGATTGGTCTTCATGGGGCAAGATTTTGATTCAGAAACACCTTGGAGCATTCACACTGTCTCCTCCCTGTGAGCCCTGCCTTTGCCACATCTGTTTCTTCCCATCGGTGCTTCCACAGCGTGGCACGACCTGCAGGCTGGCTTAACTCTGCACTGGGTTCCATCATGCGGATCCAGGTCGACCGGGACCAGTTTGTGAGCGCTTAGCTGGTTTCTGTGTATCTAAACTACAAACAATGCTTCCAGGGCCAGCGCCACACAAACGGCTTGTGTTTTAAACAGTCTTTTCCCCCTTGTGTGAATATTCCCATAAATAGAAAATTGCCAAGTGGAAGGTTATGGACAGTTTTAGAATTCTTAGAATTTTCTATGGACCATTGTCCTGAAAGGTCAGCCCAATTGACCTGCGAAGATTTAAAAGGCAGAAATGGCACAGAAACCACTTCTCAGACCACTTCTGGGAGAATTGTTACCGTCCTTTGGGATTTAAAAAGCAGAGGGTGTAGATGACAAGATGGCCATCAGTTTATCCTGTGCGTATTCATCAATATTCGATAATTTATCAAAATCTGAGACTGCGCAGCTGATCTTTTCCCATGCCTCTTTCTACTTCATGTCCATTAAATGGGTTATGCACACGTGTGTTTGTGTGTTTACAGATAGATGGGTGGTTTTTTGCAAGATATATCAGACATTATTCCTTATTTTAGCTCACACATCTGTGTACCAGCTAAAACTCCTCTGTCTTTTGTTCTACGCACAGAGAAACAAGAGCCAGGCATGACTCTAAATAATTAATCTTCCATGGACAGAAAGAACATTAAATTACCTCTCCGTCTTCCCTTTGCTATTCGTAATAGTTTCAGTTATTTCCATCTTCCACCCAAGGTCAGGGAAGTATAAATAGAAGGAGGCGGTAATTGGAAAATGTGGCAGAAATGCCAGTGAACCCCAAATGGCATGTATTTGTGTCCTCAGAACAGTTAAGGAGAGTTCCTTAAAAATTATATGTACAGTTATGACAAAGTGACCACAGTCATTTGACAAAAGCTGATTGCAGCGATTTCGGGAGGTTTCCCGTGTAGGTCTGTTGACTTGGTGGCTGCCCACTGACCCAGCATCAGGCCAAGAGACCAAATGCAGGTAATGAGGTTGGGGTGGGGGACCCCGGGGAATGTGGGGTCTGGCACTTACTCTCTTGGTAGGTGAGTGTGGTGGTCTCCCTCGTCACCATGCTGGCGCCATCTGCCTTTGACCTCATCGCCGCCTTGGAGATGTACCACCCGCGGACCACACTGCGCTTCCAGCTGGCGAGGTAGGACTGCCCCGCCAGGAGAGGCCACGGGTGGCTCAGCCATCTGCCACCCATGGTGGGAATGTTCGCGCCTCAAGAGCCGGCTGGCTTCTTTCCCCCACACTTAGCACAGGGCTCACCTGTAGACGCAGCTCAAGAAAAGCAGGTTCCAGGAGGGAAGAGAGGGGGTGGGGGACAGGGGAAGAGGGAAAGGGGATAGAGGGGGAGAAAGAAGAGGGCAAAGGGAAGAACAGGCAGAAACGCCAGATAGCAAAGGGGACCAAGAAGATGACGGTGAGTGTGTCTGGTCGTCCTCACTGTTGAGTTCTCTCCGCGGTTTGTCTGAGCGGCGAGAGAGACCCAGGCTGTTCTCCCAGACGTGAGAGGAACAGTAGATGCTTTGCTGGCAATTCCCAAAAGCATAGACCCAAAGGGTTTCTCGGGCCGTGCAGGATGGCCCGTGGCTGCGAAAGCAGGTGGTGGTGACAGGCAGGTGTGTCGGAGGGAGCGTCAGGCTCCCCTTCAGGAGCCGGGACGGCCGCGCTGTGTCCAGCACCGGCGTTATCACTGTGTTCCTGAAAAATCCACCTCTTCCCTGGAGCGTGTCTCCTCATCTGTAAATTAAACCGCCGCAGCAGGGCCGGGCGAGTCTTGTTAAACCGCATGCGACAGCAGGAGGCGCAGAGAACCCTGCTCACTCGCTGCCACCCTCGCCCCGTCTATGTTGCTGTCACCTGTCTTCTCTTGTGACACCTGATAACATTCTACAGAACTAGTTTTCCACAGACGACTTCGGAAAGATTTGCTCTCGCCCAGGAGTCGGCAAACATCTGCAAAGGAGCAGGCAGTAAATGTTTGAGGAGTCACGGGTCACACCGTCTCTGTCGCGACCACTCAACTCCGAGGCTGTGGCTTGGAAGTAGCCATAGGTGACACGAAAACGAAAGGGTGTGGCTGTGTGTGTCTGTGTCCAACACACCTTCACTCACAAAACAGGCAAGGAGACGGCTTGGTTTGAAAGTCATACTTTCCAACCTCTGAACCGTCCTTTCAAAGACAGAAAAACATGAAAGAGCAAGGGGTTGGCCAGAGCCGCGCAGCCCCGCGCAGACCTGGAGCAAGGCTTGGGCCCTGGCTCAGCCCCGGTTCCTTGTGCTCCGCTCACAGCTCTTTTGACCTGGAAGAGAGAGGTGCCTTCCTCAGCTCCTTCCTCGCTAGCGGGCACTGGGAGGATCGATGCCGTTATTGCATTTGGTCTACAGGCAATCCTATTACACAGATTGGCCTCGTTACTCATGCTCCAAACTAGAGAAACAGAGGCATCCGAGACTGCCCCAGACAAGTGAGGGCTAATTCCAGTAATAAGAGTGAGCCTTATTATTTTAGTTCCATTAACTTACCAGCAGACCGTGTTACCTTTTATCCAAGAGAAAACCAGCACGATGGCAATGCCAAGATGGCAGGAGATGAGGTTTATCCAATCCTTCCTCCAGCCGACGCCTACTGCCTGACGCCGAGGGCCCTCCCTGGCTTGGTACCGCGATGCAGCGTTGAAAAGGCCCCGGCATTGCATGGAAGGGAAGCCCCTCACAGTTTCAGAGGGAAGGCCATCGAGAGTCACAGTGCTGTCCCCTGAGGGGCCCCCTCCCCTGCTCTCTGCCCACTGACTGCACACAGGTCAACTCCGCACCGGGAGGCCTGTGGCCAACTCATGACTGCAATTTGGAGTCTTTTCCTCAAGGTACAGATGTTTTCTATCTGAAAGTGACCTTGGCTTCATGATTCTCAGAGCACCAATTGTTGTCCCACTGAAGCATCTACACACCTGCCATTTTCCTTTCTCGTCCTGCTCCCCCGGACAGGTTTGCAGCAAGACCCAAGGCTGCTTCCTGGGAAGTTCCCTCATGTGTTTCCAAAACCTTTCATCGCTGGGAAACTGATGTCAAGTCTTCGATCACTAGCTGATCTAGACTGTTGCTGGAAGATTCCAGCAACATCCCAGGGGTCCCCATGGCATAGCTGTACCCACGCCCCTCAGTGCTCCTGGGGGGTCCTGCCTGTACTTCGGGAGCACTGAAACTGCATCCCTTTTCCCTGTGCGAGCTGAGCTGGTCAGTGAGCTGGCTCCGTGTTCGGTGTGCCTGTCCCTAAAGCAGGATTGTTCTAGAGTGTACCTCACAGAGCTGTTGTGAGGATCAAATGAGATAATTCGTGGAAAATCACTTTACAGACCAGAAACATGACACAAAGACACACTTTACATCACAATTTAGAGCCCACTTCCTACACTCACACCCTTCCTGCCCTCCCGGCGTTTCTAGGGCGCTGACCCAAAGATACGCAATGTGGAGTCCCCTGGAGAGGCTGCAAAAACATTCCCAGACGCCCCAGACCTACTGAGCAGGTGGATTCTGGAATTCTGTATTTTCTTAAAGGCCCTCAAGGTGATTCTCAAGGAAGCCACATGAGGCAGCCACGGTCTTGGTGTACCCATAGCCTCTAGAACCACGGGGTGGGTCCAGAACCGTGGCCTTGTGTGCGGTGGTCTTGCTCTCAAGGTGGGCTTGTGGCTTGCAGGGTCCTTGTGCTGTACCTGGGGAATCTCTACAGTCTGATCATTGCCCTCCTGGACAAAGTCAACAGCATGAGCATTGAGGTGAGTGCCCCCTGGACAGCCACCCCCCACCTCTGCCCTGCCCCCGCCCCCACCAGCGTCTTCATCGTGGTCGTCACACCACGCTGAGTCTGCGTTCCACACTTCTCCCTCAAAACTCAACTCCACCGTGGCCTTCTCGAGGTGAGGGTAGAAAAATGAGCCCATTTCCCAGGTAAAGAAACTCGGGCCACAGTCCATGGCTAGTAGGTGACAGTGCCGGATGAGAACTCGGGGCTTTTTGACTCTTCGTAGTATATTACCCGTTTCCTTGAATGCCGTCTGAAAAAACCATTGCAGGTGATCCCAGGAAGAGCAGCAGGCCCTGGGCCTCACTCAGGAAGTCAGGAGAGAACAACCGTCTCACGGGGACAGACCAGAGTGGGCCCTGCCAGCCCAGCCGGGCAGGAGCGCCCGCTCCCAGCCCAGGCAGCCTCGGCATCAGGTTCAGCCTGCTCCACCCGCGAGCCCGGCCCCAGTGCTGGGGCAGGGGAGGCGGGGAGGAGGCGCTTTCTCGCGGTGGGTTGCCAGGGCACGCCGCACTAGCTTCGAATTTCAAGACTAACAGGCAGAAGAGGACACAGAGAGTAATTTTCTGCGTCAGGGCCCTGAGTTTCCGCAGACGTGGGTCCTTCCTGCCACTCACTAGCGGCACAACCTCGAGCGTCAGACTGGAACTCATGAGTTCCAATCTCCTCTGAGCGTGGGGTAATATCCTTACCTCTCACTCCCGGAGGACGAGAAGAGATAAAATGCGTGAGCTGAAGCAGTTTCTGACACTTACTGGGGACCAATAAATACGACCCGTTATGTCTCTGTGTTCCGTTCCTGGGGCCAAGTCTAGTCAAGCTGCTGTCGAGAGAGAGAGAGAGAGAGAGAGAGAGAGAGAGAGAGAGAGAGAATGGCTGTTCCCAAACAATACAACGTGACCCTTGGTGTCCACGAGGGGTTCCTATTCAGAAATACGTGAACAACCTTTTCTCTTCCTTCCCTCCTCCCTCCCTCCCTCTTTCCGCAGGACGCCGCTACCAAAAGTAACACAAGCCATTGGTCGGACTCCACCAGTCTCTTTGCCACCAGGACAGCCCCTGCAGGGGAGCCATGGGCCACGCCTGGGCCCGGAGTGGGGCTCAGGAGGAACAGCACGTGGGCCTTGGCCGAGAGCAGCCTTCCGCCCCGCGCCGCGCCCCTCGCGAAGGCCAACGGCAGCACGCCGGACACGCAGAGTCCGCAGGGCCAGTGCTGGGAAACATACGTCGGCCAGGTGGTTCCTTTCTCCTCCGCTTCCTCACGCAACCCCAGCAGCTCTCTGCGGTGTCGCCGTCCGTGTTTTACAGAACAGGGAAGTTCAGGGAGGTTTGGGTTTCCAGGTCCGAAAGTTATTAATAATAATCAGTGCAAAGACCCACGCAGCATTTCCTACATGCTGGGCCCTGTTCTAAGCGCTTAGTCCTCATCAGAGTCCTGTCATTGTCACCCTTGTGGGCACAGTGAGGAAACTAAGGCACGAGTGGCATTGCCCAGGGACACAGAGAAAGGAGCAGAGGGAAGCCTGAACCCAGACGTCTGCCCCACGTCTGGGCCCTCATCTGCGCAGAGCACCTCACCCCAGGGCGCTACCCCAGGGCAGCGGGTCACCGGCCTCGCGGAGTCTCCCGCGGCTCAGACCACAGACCTTAGATTCTTTCCTAGTTCCATGTAGCGCTGGCTTCAGATGTCAAACTTCAAATTAGCCAGCATTTATCGAGCATAGATTATGTGCCAGGATCCCATCCTTCTGCCCACTGCCCTTCTAAAGATGCGAAATGAAGATGCCACTGGAGGGGTCCTCCCGCTCAGGCCCGCGGGGAGGAACAGAGACCAGGAGGGCCCTGGAGGAAGGGCAGCGGGGGAGGGGGAGGGCGGGGCGTGGCGGCATCCGGGGCCCCTGTGTTTCAGGAGATGCTGAAGCTCTCCGTCATTGACATGCTCTTCACCGTGGCGAGCATCCTGCTCATTGACTTCTTCCGGGGACTCTTCGTTCGGTACTTAAGTGACTACTGGTGCTGGGACCTGGAAAACAAGTTTGTAAGTAAAATGCTGCGCTTGCCGGGAACCTGACACGCCAAATCCGTCCTTTCCTGATGCCAAGACTGGGAGGCAGTCAGGGGAACACACGGAAAGGAAGTACGTGAGGGGACAGCGAAAGGTGGGGATGGCACCGCTGAGAGATCACTGCCATGAGAGCGAAGGACCCCCCACCTGCGAGTACAGTGAACTGGTTACGCAAAGAACTTCGCAACTTTTTCTAACGCGGTTCTTTTTCTCTCATAGCCTGAATATGGAGAATTCAAAATAGCTGAGAACGTGCTACATTTAGTCTACAACCAAGGAATGATTTGGTAGGTATCCGAGCTGCTGCTTTGCTTACATCTCATCTGGGCCAAGAGTCTGAATTTTCTTAGTCTGGATGGGACGTGACCATAATACACACAGCCCTAAGGGTTAAGAAAGGCAATTTTCGAGGGGAACTAGTTCTCATGTAATTTTGTTAATCATTTTGTAGGAATTTTGCAGGAAGAAATGGTAAAGAAAATAGTCCACTTTTAAGCTTCTGTTAGTCATAGCCAAAAAAACAATCTGCACAGGAACCAGTAGAATAAACTGCTGGGGGGGCCTGGGAGGTGGCTGGGAGGAGAAGCTGCTTTTCCCCCTGGGGGACTTCAGGAGTGGTTTCAGTCCCAGCCAGGGACCTTGGCCTGTCCGCCCCCGACTCTCCCTCCTGTGACTCCTTATTTTCACGTAGACACCGGGCCCAGGACACAGCCATCCCCCAGACCGACAGATCTGGGAGGACGCTCGAAGCTTGGGAAGTCTGTTCACCCAGGGCACCCCCCAGGCCCAGGCAGTCGTTCCCGGAGACCCTGAGGAGCTGAAGGGACGTCTGATGCACATGGGTGTGTGTCCGCAGGGCACGGCGAAGAGCTCCCTGTTGAACCCCAGATAGCGCCATTTATTAAAATATAAGCGAACAAAGAAAAACTGTGGATGTTCCATACATTCAGAAAACACAATCTCTCTTCATAATCATTCGATAAAATGAATGGGGAATTGAGAGGTATAAAGTAATGTTCCTCCAATCAAATTCTATGTTCTTATAGTCCACTGAATTTTACAAAATGTCTTTACTAATACAGTATTAAAATAATATGTGAGATGTATTTAATATGTGTTAGGTATCAGGCACTTTTCTACCTGTAGTGAATGATTTAATACTTAGAGTAACCCTATGAGGTAACTGCTATTTTCCCGATTTTAAAAATGAGGAAACTGAGGCACAGAGAAGCTACAGATCTTGCCTAACATCAAACAGGCAGTGACATTTCTGCCTACTGTAAGAAACCAAACTTCTTAAAAAAGATTTTTGCTTATTAAACATATCCTTATATCTACGCTTATTCTCCTACTACGAAATGCAAATTCCACAAGTATTACATTGAATGCACATCCAGGATAAACCAATGTAGACTAATGTCAGAAAACCTGGGTCTCGTTCCCTATTTGACATTTCCTTATAGGGTGACAGCTTCCCTGGGATGGCCCGCTGATCGCCCGTGGACCCAGCTCTTTCCCTCTCCAATGTGTCCCAGTTTGGATGATTCAGGGTTACCCTTTTATTAGCAACATGTTTTGGGGCAAATCACTTAATTTTCCCTGACCTGCCTTCCTTGTCTATCAGCTTTGGGTACTTATCCCTCCTTACGCAACTGCAGAAGATTAAATGAGCTAAAATACGTGAGGATGCTTAGCACGATGTCCAGGAACTGCGGGTGCTCAACATACGTTGATTAAACCCAGAAGTCAGTAGTTTATTAGCAGAGTCCTCGCCATGGACAGGCAAAATCCGCAGCTTCCCCGAGCGTAGTCATCCGCCCTTTGCTCGAGCGTGAAGAGAGACAAACACGTTAGGCCTTTGCCAGGACTGGAGGACATTTGCAAGAGGATATTTTAAAATAGGATCACCATCCGTCTTTAGTGACTTGTCTTCTCACCGGAAAGTACAGGGCTGTGGTGGCAGCACTGCAGGGGGCATCTCCAGTTCCTTAAGCATAGGAAGTGGATCCCCAAATCTCAGAGCCGTGCTCCTCCCTGGGCTCCCGGCCCTGGAAAATGCACAGGAAGAGAACATGTGCAATCTGACCTTCCCCGTGCTTCCAGGATGGGGGCCTTCTTCTCGCCCTGTCTCCCTGCTTTCAACGTCCTCAAACTCATCGGGCTCATGTACCTGAGGAGCTGGGCTGTGCTGACCTGCAACGTGCCCCACCAGCAGGTGTTCCGAGCCTCCAGGTGGGTAAGCAGAAGGTCGCTTCACGCGGGGACTCAGAGAACTCACGCCACCCACGCGGCCCGATCCAGGGGTCCACCAGCAGGGGCTCCCCCAGCTCGCTCCCTGTCCAAATCCTGCGTGGCCTGCAGTTTTCTTTCCTCCATGGTATCATCTCCAGTGCCCGGCCCTTAGCCTTAATCCTACGCCTCTGGAGATCACGACACGTTTTTTAAAACTTTCTTGACTGAAATTTAACAATCATTTGGAAAAATGCACAAATCATAAATGCTTAGCTTGATGAATTTTCACAAACTGAACGCAAGTATGTAACCAGCACCCAAATCAAAAAACAGAACATGTTCCAAAACTCCTGAAGGCGCAATATAGATAAGAAAATGAGAAAGTAAAGATAAATAAGAAAAAACCAGAACGTGGGTGGCACCCAGAGCACCCACTCGCGCTCTTTCCAGTCACTGCCGACTTGCAGCAGCAGAATTAGGTCTGCTTTGCTCTGCTCTATGTAAATGGAGTCACACACGGCTTCTTTCACTCAACACGGTGAGATTCATCCATCCGGGAAATACACCCCAATTTCTTTCTCCGTGCTCCTGTTGACGGGCACAGTGGTTGTTTCCGGTTGTTAGCTGTAATGAATAAGCCACCTTGAACATCCTCGTACGTGTTGTTTGTTGGGTCTGTACCTGGGAATGCAACTGCTGGGTCGTGGGGTCAGGCACTGTGTTCACCTTTAGCAGACAGCGCCAAAAAGTTTTCCAAAGTGGCTGCACCATTTTGTGTCTGCATGTGCGAGAGCTCCAGCTGTTCCGCAGCCCTGCCAAAACTCGCTTCTCCCTGTGTTTTTCATTTTAGCCATTTGGGTGATTTTATAACACATTTTGAACACTTTGATTAGAGCTCAGTTATTTTATTTTGACATAAGTTATTTATATGTGTCTATTAGTCGCTTTCAAACTTTTTGACCGTGACCTACATGACAATATGTTTATATGTCACCTGGTAGCCAGCATGAATATATGCACATATTCAGATATATGTTATATATATTTCCATATATGTTTATATGTTTATGTATAATATGTCTGTATGTATACATGTATCTATCTATACAGATAGATATATATATATAGAGAGAGAGAGAGAGAGGTTTTACAACTTGACACTCACCTACTGACTACATTCTGTGCACTCTGACATTTTGTTCTCTTTTAGTCAGATCTATCTCGTTAGAGACAGAAGAACAGAACAGAAAGAGTGCTAGTTGAGAGTCACACGACGGGTTGACCACTGGTTCTCTTTTCAGAACTGCATACAGGGCCTCACACACCAATGGGTCTGAGCCATCCTTGGGGAGATCTGGGCAGCCAAGGTCCCTGACACCTGCTTAGGGCTGGGGGACCAGGGACCAGGGCTTCATCAGGCAGGACACTTGCCCTGAGCAGCCAGGAGCAGAGAGGATAAGAGGTTGGGTGCAAATCGCATCCCAGTGAGAGATTCTAGCATCATAACCAGAAGAGCCAAACCATCCTGAGATGTAAGACTCAGCTGGACGGGCAACGCTTCTAAGATTTTCCCAGGAACTGAGCTCACTGGGTGGGAGCTCTGGGTGCCGGGTGAGGTCACCACTCCCGTGGTTCGAAGTGGACAGGCACTCGGCAAATGTTTATTAGAGGAACAGGTTGGGCTGGAAGATCTGTGAAGTTCCTTCGAACACTGATTTCTAGGGTTCCAAGCTGCATATGACCCTATGACGGACTCACTCCTACGTAGTGCTGGGAGGAGGATTTTTCAGTTTGCAAAGAGTCAGGACAACAGCTTCTGGGGCGGTTCTTGGGGCACATTCGTCCTCAGCAACTGGCTGTGGAGTGAGGGCAGCACATAGCTTGTGCTTTCTTCGCAGATCCAACAACTTCTACTTGGCGATGCTGCTGTTCATGCTGTTCCTGTGCATGCTGCCCACCATTTTCGCTATCGTCCGCTACAAACCTTCTCTAAACTGCGGGCCCTTCAGGTGAGTTGTTTCGGTTCGCCGGCCTGGCCTGCAGCTGTGGCAGTTGTGGGGAATTGAACCTCACTGAGTGGAACTGTCCCCCGGCTCACAGAGCAGGTGAGACACGTGGAAAGATCGCAAACCCGCATCCTCTGAGTCCAAGACCCGTGCTTTTGCCCTGACGTCACCTGCAGAATATTACGCGGTGGCCTCTAGCCATGGCCTCCAGCCATGCCTTGATGTCTTGCAGCATCCTTCTGCCAAGAGCATTAAAGTCTGCGTGATGTTTTCTGTCTCACAGTGGACAAGAGAAAATTTATGACATCGTGTCAGAAACGATCGAGAAGGACTTTCCCGCGTGGTTCGGCTCTGTGGTTGGACACATCAGCAGCCCTGTGGTCATCCTGCCCGCCGTGCTGCTGCTGTTGTGAGTACCACCCCGCGGGTACCACCCTGCAGGCTTTGCGGCACGTCCGCGTGTCTGGCCAACAGGAGCACGTCACTCTCCAATAATTATGGAAAATGTATTAGTTCACCCAAAAATCACTTAGGAAGCCTAGTTATCTAAGAAGAGACTCTGAGTCGCACAGCAGGGTCACACGAGTCACTGTGCCATGGAGACACAGCCACTGGGCCCCAGCGGGGGTGGGGGGAGGGCTCCACTGCTATCCAGGTGGTTATTGATCCACCAACAGCATTCGATCAATGAGTGTGACCCCTATGATGGGTTTGAATGCCGTTACCATCATTATCTTATTCTCCAGAAATGTAAATACTCCTGCAAAGGAACTTCATAACTCAGCTGAGTGGCTCTGGCTTATTTGGCTTAAAGGAAAGAATAAAAGCCAGTGGATGCAGTCCTCACCGCTTGACACACTGCAAACTGCCTCCCCCATTTTCGCACCTTTCTTACCGCTGTCTCCAGGGCAGAGTCCTAGGTCAGCGGGGTGCTGTGGGAAGGAAGAAAAAGGGAACAGCCCCTTCCACAGTAAGGCAAGCGCTCACTGGCTTGAGGACTCGCTGGTACCTTTTGTCCTTGGTGGAGGGTCGGGGGGTAGCCACATCCGGCCTCCTGTTCCTGCCAACACCTGACCAGGGCAGAGGCCTGACAAGCCAGGGAGCCGGAGTGGCACTCACGGTCCCCGCTGTTCTGTCCTAGCCTGCTCATCTACTACCTCCAGAGCATCGCGAGGTCTCTGAAGCTCAGCAACCACCAGCTCAGAATGCAGATCCAAAACGCAAGTATCACGTGACCCTGCTGTTGTGACTGAGACCTGGCCAGCTCGGGAATAGGTCATGTCTGCAACTTACTGTGACTCTGGGCCACCCGCTATGGCACAAGCCCACAACCCCCAAGATCTCCCAGAATTGTTTCTAACAATACCCGGGATGGTTCACATGTGCCAGGAACAGTCTGCTCCTGTCTTCCCTCCTCTCCAAGGGCCCCTCTGGTGGCCACTGGAAGCCCTCGTGTGCCAGGCACTTTTGCAGGCTCTGGGAACGGGCCTGTCCCACTCCTTGTCCGCGTGGACATCTGAGCCCAACAGCACAGTCGTACCCAAAGACTCACCCCTTTCAGCCTGTAGACTCTGGCTGCCATTGTCCTTCCCCCACCCCGGGCTCCAGCGCCACCTCAGAGCAGTCAGGACAGCAGACACTGCCCAGTCCTTCCAGTTTCTCCTCCCCGGCCTTGTCCAAGGGCTCCCCGCGGCCGGGACCGGGCGAGGCCAGGGAGGTGGCCATGGTGCAGAGTTGAAGGAGGCTGTGCCGGGGCCCTGCTGACGCTGCCCTTTCACCCCCACCCCGACAATGAATGCCTCTGCGCCTGTGCACCCCGGATCCTCGACAGCCTCACCCGGCCCCAGACCCCCACGCAAAGAATCTCCCTCCACCTTTTTCAGTTAAAAAAAAACCAAATTGCCATGACTATCAATTCACACAAAGAAACACGAACTAGTCTTATAAAAAGTCAAATTAGAAATTTAAATTAGAATTCAAATTAGAAATTCATTCATTCATCCCTTTTCATTAGCTGCAAAGGGATGTCTTTGCGGAAGCACACATCTCCAGCTTCGTTGATCCATAGTTTTTTCTCTGTGACTCAGGCCGACTATTATTGGTAGAATAGAAACATGGTCTGTCAATTAGCTGTCCCTAAACAAAACAGGCCAGGCACGACACTTCAGCTCTCAGGTATCTGCATTTATTCACTCAAATGACAGCCCCGAGCCCAGAGCACGATGTCCTCAGGGGACAAAGGTAGTTCGGTCACAGTCCACGGTAAGAGCCGTGGCACATAAACCTCCCCGTCCCTATGATGTTTGTTACTGCTTTCTTCTGAATCCAAAACCAACATGGTTTTATTTACATTGTAGGCAAGATCAGAAGACAAGAAAAAGGTTGCCCAGATGGTCGAAGGTCAGTATTAAAAAACGCAGAGACGTGATGTCTCAGTGAGTGGCCATTTAGAAATCTAGCAGTTTAAGGTAGTTTGAGGAACTCTACCAATAAAAATTCCTGGTAACCTGTGGTTTTTCACAGTTAACTAGGCACAATAAAATAAGATCTAGGGAAATAAGTGTTGGTTTAAATCTTCAATTTTTACATCATATCCAAGCCTGTGAATAACCCCCAAATATGTCTAAAATCAGAAGGAAGTTTTGAGGTGGGAGGGGAAAAGAAGCACATTAACCCGGAGAAGATCCCTAAGGACATCTTTCTCAGGCGCACGTCTGTGTACGTTGCTGGGTGGCCCGTCGCTTCCTTGCAAGACCCCCTCCCAGGCCCCGTCCTCTCTGCCCCACCCCTGCAGAGCAGAGCCGGGAGGGCAGGCCCCGTGGCGAGAACAGATTCCTGAGAGAGGAATCCACGCCCACTGCCTGTCTGAGAACACACCTTCCCTTCCGGTGGTCTGCAGCGGCACCTGGACAAACCCGTCCCATCCAGGTTCATTAGGGGAGAAGGAATGACAGCGTGAGGGACAGAAAGTATGACAGCATGGAGTGGCCTGGAGGGAGGACAGTGGGCAGGTGCAGCTCAAAGGTCCACTTTCTGGGCGCACTCAGAGTGTGCTGGGAGCTGGGAGGCTCGCCAGGCGCCGTGGGCCTGGGGTAGACTGAGCTCGGGACCCAGCAAGGCTCCGGGGAAGCCCTCCGCGCCCTTTCAGTGCCGCGCTGCAGGAAGGGACTGCTCCCCTCTAGCCCAATGCCTGAGTGGGAGCCCTGAGGCCTGAGGGTCCGGCCTGCCCCGCCAGCTTTTCAGAGAAGCCTGTAAATGACAGTGACTAAGGACAATGATGGCGGCTCACGCTATGAAGCCGGCTGTGAGCGTCAAGGGTCATCTGCCGACCGAGCCTGGTTTAGTCCCATCATCTCCCAAAGCCAGGCTCCGCCTGGGCTTTCTCAGGGCAACAGTAGCATTGCCCAGGTGTGCTGTTTTTCGACTGCTGTGTGAACTGTTTCCAAAACCCGACCATCGTAGTATCGGCTTTATTATATCCACGGTGTAGAGTAGGAACCGGAGCCCCAGAGCCGTCAGATGCCTGCTTCCCTCAGGGCGGCGTCCCCTGGTGCCCCGCGCAGCCGTGGGTGCGTTTGGCTCTGCCTGCGCCCTGTCTGGGACGAAATGATTTCAGTTACAGAACGTTTATTGCCCGTGGGTTAGCGCGTTTGCGAGCGCGACCGCTGATCGCGGACCAACCGTTGGAAGTCATGGGCCTCTTACAGCCCCCTCAGCGGACTGTGTCCCCTGCACGGAGGTCGTCTTCTCACAGTGCCCCCTCTCCCTGCAGCCCGCATCCAGACCCAGGAGGAAAGCGCCAAGAGGCTTCCGAAGGACAGCGATCGCGTCAGCCAGCTGTCCTCAGCACACTCGGCCACACCCCAAAACAACGGCAACGTGGTCAACTTCGACTCGGTGAGCAGCAAGAGCAGCAGGATAGAGACTGTCGCCCAGTCTGTGCCCCAGAGTCCCAGGCCGGGGCCCAGGGCGCCCAGCTCACCTCTTCCCGGAGTCTCCAAATCCAGGCCAGGGCACGACGCCCGCAGGTGAGGCTCCACTGCAGCGCAGAGGGGACCGGCCGCCTGGGACGTGCTGCCGGCCCTGGCCCCGAGGCCACAGAAAGTGTGGGCTAAAGAGCTCTTGGGGATCTGAGGCCTCAGCAGTTTCGGGAGGCCAAGGCCGCACGTTCTAATTCTTCCAGAAGGCCACAGGGCCAGGAGGTAGTGGGGAAGGGGGTGTCAAAGTTTATCACACAGGACAGATTCTTCCTCCCGGGCTACCTGCCGTAAACCTGTAAGCCAACATTCCGGCCAAACCGGGATAAGCATTTCTACAGCCTACATGGGGAAAATTCCTTTTTAACTGTTTATCTTTACTCTTTAGTTCCAGACTGGCCATGTCACTGGCAAGGTCCCCATGCCTTACCCCAGGCTGGCCAGGTTATCGGCAAGGTCATCCGTGCGCTATGTGGGCTCAACTATTTCAGTCCTGTGCAAAAGAAAGGCTGAGAAAAAGAAAGAAAGTAGAGTCCTGCTTCCTTTCAGGAGGTCGGGAGCCAGGACAGGTGAAGGAGATGGAGCTGCGCTGGCCGGGACTGGCTCCGAGAGCAATATATCAATGCCCGGTCTGAATGTCACACGGCGAAAGCCACGTAGATAAAATGCAGGGGTTCATTTTTGGGGTGTTTTTTAAAGACAATCACTAAGTTAGCAAAGAACTGGAAATCTTGCTATTTGAGTTTTCTTCATGGCTCAGCGGGGTCTTGGCAGGGTGGAAAGATTAGCGCTGTGCCCCCAAATGTTTCTGCGCACACAATCCACAGCACACGCATTAGCCATTGGAGCCAGGCTCGACGACGATGGCGAGGGAACCTCGCTCCCACAGTGCTCAGGCACGGGGCTCTGGGACCACCCAGGCCACGGCTGCTGAGCCGCCTTTGCCTTACAGGTACCCACGCGGTCTCTACGCCAGCACAGGGGACCTCCGCAAGAGCAGATCGCACACACCTGTGACGTTTGCTAAGCACGCAGATGACATCCACTCAGAGCCTCTTTTCCAGAAAGACTTTCAGCAAATCGATCCTTCCCTCCACGGACCCGGGGTCTCGGCCTTGGTGGCAGAGGGTCCTAGGCCCCACGCCCCCAGATACTATATCATTAATGAACGGGACTCTCACAAGAAAAACCATCCAACTTTCTGGCCAGAAAGACATTTCAAGATAGATGCCTCGGGTGACATCGTGGAGATGTACCCCAGAAACGTGCGACCATATGTGTCCCGGGTCTACCCCCAGCCCCACTCTCCACAGCTGAGTGAGGAAGAGGAGGAGAGGCCGGGGAGAGATTTGACCAAAAGGTCTTTCGCCCCGCGCTCCCTCACAGACCTCCACCGGGCCCCTCACTTTTACATCGGCGAGAGGTCAGAGAGCCGGACCCTGGCCCCAGAGCACCAGGGGAGGGCGCACTACCAGTCTTGGAATGACGGTTTCGGGGGCCAGCCCGACAGGCCCACGTATGCGCACAGAAAGCCACGCTCCCGGAACTTCCGACATCCACAGCACCCTCTGAAGCCCAGGGTCAAGCCCAGGTTCGAGCCACCTGTCACAGAATCCGATTCCATGTCGGCGGCGTCCAGTAGTGACCAGCAGAATAGCAGCACCGACCAGTACCTGCAAGTGACCCCCAGCCAGGGCAGGTGCCCGAGGGCCGTGGGCCGACTCAGCAGGAGGAAGGCCGAGTCGGGGCCGGAGCTGGCCCTGGATCTGGACGACCTGATCTACTCTAACGTCTAGGCCTCCCTGGTGCCCCACACGCAGAGCCCAGGCCCCTGCTGGACGGCTGGGCCGGCACATGGCCTCTGCCCTCTTGGGAGAAAGGAACACGTGTGGGCGAGACCTGTGGGCATGTCCAGGCACATCCTTGGGGGCTGGCTGAGGCCCCGGGAGTCCCCGGGCTACAACCGCAAGCAAGAGGGTCATGCCTGTGGGTCCCTTCACGTCCAGCGCACGGAAGCGATCAGGCCATTATTTCAAGAAAACTTTAGTCCCTTGCCTCCTCTCCATGGCCACGAGTCACAGGCAAGCCAGACATCTCATCCAGACCGCGGAGGCCTCACCCCGACACCCGTGCTCGTGCCTGTGGTGTGAGTGAGCCCTTGGATTGCGATGCTGTCGTTCGACACGCGAAAGTCAGCCCTCCCTGATAAGCACCCGGACTCACAAGGCTGCTGGTAGAGATTTCACAATGCTCGGTTTGTACGAGTCATCGGTGCAGCAGTGACAAGGGTAACGGGAATTACCGAGAGCTTGTTTGCTCTGTCTGCTGGCCTGTCTGTATTAATCAGCCGGGACATTCAGGTTGGCAGTAACCCAAGGTTTCCCTCAAGGTTCATTGGTCTATTAAGGAAAAGCAAAGCCTGGGGACCAAGCCCGACTCGGGCCCGGCTGGAGGCCGGGGATCAGACACCCGGGAACATCGCTGTCACTTCTCTGCTCTGTTCCTGTGTCCTCACCTCATTTTGTCCTACACCAAGGGCTCCCTCCATGCGCGGGGTGGGGGGAGGAATTCACAGCCACGGAAGGTGCCAGGCTCTCACCCAGCAGCCAAGCGCCCAGAGGGAGGAGCAGCGTGGCCCTCCCCTCTCCACGTCCCCTTCGCCTCCGCGGGCTGATGGCCTCTGGCCCGTAAACATCATGCGGGGTTTGGGCAGCGGTTTGTGCTCCGTCTTCCGTGGTTGACCAGGAGCGCGCCCTATTCATGTCTCTGTGATGACTCTTTTCACTCTAAACTCTGTCTTTTTGACGTTGCTGTCTCCTCCGCCAGGCTGTCTTGGAGCAGGAATGGTATTTCACTCACCTCTGCATCCCCAGTGGCTGACACATCATGCATACTGCAATCGCTTTCTACTGATGCGTAGCAGATTTTGTGGCTTGAAAGAACACACATTTATCCTCTCACGGTTCCCGTGGGTCAGGAGCTGAGCTGGGTCCTGCGCTCAGGGTCTCACCAGGCTGTACCCAGGCATCAGCCGGAGTCGCCATCTTATCCGAGGCCCGAGTCCTCTGCCAAGCTCCTGTGACTGTTGGCAGAATTCATTGCCTTGACTTTCCAGGACGGGGGCCTCAGCTCCTAGAGGCTGCCCACGTTTCCCTGCCGCACGGCCCCTCCGCAGCACGGCTGCTTCTGTCTCCAAAGCCAGCGAGAGACTGTCTCTCCAGTCTCAGGTCCCTTTCTCCAGGGAAGGCCTCAGCCCTCTTTTAAAAAGGGATCACCTGATTAGGTCAGGCCCACACGGATAATCTCCCTTTTGATTAAGTCAACGTGAACTGATTGGGGGTCTTAATTACATCTTCAAAATCACTTCACCTTTACGGTATCTGGGAGCAAAGTCTCGTCATCCTCCCGAGTGCCTGCGTACTCAAGGGGGGAGATGGCGCGGGGCACGTGTAACGGGACGGCAATCTTGGAGACCGACCTCAAATACTTAATAAAACATTAGTTGAATGTGAATGGGTGGATGAATGAATGAATGAACTGTACTAATGAATGAATCACGAGTGGCATGGTCACAGGATTACGTTCCAAGAGTTATTACCAGTTCTAATCGAAAGCAAAGATCAGTATAAATAGTGCCGTCTTAAAAGTACACACATACTAACACACTTCCCCAAGTTTATGCAAAGCAGTGCACATATTTTCAAATGTCTCGCCATGATAAATTCAGGAGGTTGCGGCCTGCTGAGGATTAAATGTTCTACAACGCCACGGAGCAACCTGTGAGACAGAGGGGCTCGGGGGGTTCCGTGAAGAGGTTCTCTCCTCCAGGTGTTGTTCTGGGACTGTGGCCTTGAGCTTCCTGGGACATTAAAACGTATTTTGGAAAAGGCTGGCCCTGCCCTAGGCACCCGTGGAAGCACCTGCGGGAGCGGTGGGCACCCCGTTGGCACCTGGGGACAAGCAGGCCTGAGACTTTCCGGAGGAAGTGTGGGTGTCGCTAGTGCCACCCGGGGCGGGAAGCGCGAGCATCGCCTGCCTCTGGCGCTCACTGTCGGTTATTCCTTCAATCTGGAGAAACTTAAAAGACACAGAATAGCGCAAATGCTAGGGTGACAAGCACCAGTAGTCCCCCTGTGAGGGTCAACAACTGTTGAAATTGAAATTTTATTTCCATCTACCCATTTTATTATTAGTAATAAAGAAAATGTTATCTTACAGATATAATCAAAGCCCACGTTCATCCTCACACTACGTCCCATTCTCCCCACACTACCAAGGGATTGCAGCATATCCATTTGGTCTGTTGTTCATAGTTACATACGTTGTGTGTGTGTGTGTGTGTGTGTGTGTGTGTGTGTGTGAATGTATGAGCATCCATAAGCAGTATGCGGGCACATTTTACTTATGTACATGCTGTTACTGCACTGTCATTGCACGTGTTTATGTTTCTCAGCTCTAGCTAAGACTTGTGTTGATCAGACTCACCTATTACAACTGCTGGATGGTATTTCATCATATGAATAAACTACATGTTTACCCATTTTCTACTGATGGACACTGAAATCATTTCGACTTCTCTGCTACTAATGTACTGAACATTTTTACATGTCTTCTATGGCCCTTGCGCCAGTGTGCTCGGAAGTGGATATTGGTTCTCCTAAAAGAGAAGCCCCAGCTCAGGGGGGGCGAGCATGTCCATCACTGGTCTTCACGGACCCAGACCCCTGCGCACGCTCCCTCCGCAGCGGGTGACATGGCCGTTTTTCCCACGGCCTCTCCAAGGCTTGGTATTGACACACTATATCATTTTTGCCAATCTGATAAAAAAAAAACCCTAACCCAACTTATTCTGATGAATTTGCATTTTTTATCGTAAGCATCATTCCCTAAGTTGATTGGCCATTTGCATTTCCTCTTCTGCGAATTAACTGCCTACTCAACACCTCTGCCCGTTTTCCTATTGATGGTAGCCGGCATCCCCGCGAACAGGCGCCCAGAAAGCTTCTGATGAAAGCATCGCACGCCCGTCAGTCGTCCCCTCTGTTCCCGGAACTCCAGCGCTTGTCTAAGCTGCAGAGCAGAAAGCTCCAAACCTATGTAGTCAAATGCCTTTGATAACTGTGGTTTCACAACATTGCTTTGTATTTTAGTAATGAGCCCTGGGGGTGGAGGTTCGCATTTCTGCCTTTGGTCAAACTATTCATAAGACATGATCCATGCTATTAAAAATCTCTCAGAAACACCTACATAAAAATTCCACTCCAGTCTCAGAGATCACACAATTATGTCCATTAAATAAGGAAGAGTGAATTCCTCGTGGTAAGAATAGTTCAGTAAATATTTTAGTAACCTAAGGATGCTTCCCTTAGTCACTCTGTATGTTTCAGAATTTGTAAATGACAGGAAATTTAGGGAAAAGCTTCTGCACATCTCTGCAAGATTAACGTCCCTAGCCTGGGGCAGTATTTTCCAGCTGCTCTGTGCATGTGCACATGTTTCTTTTTAGGGTCTGCAGGTTGTTGTCTTCTTCTATCTTTGCACATTCCACGGGAAACCCTGCACACGCTCACGGGAAGCAGGCGGCAGTAAAGCACACGAGGACACCTGTGGCCCTTGGAAATGGAAACTGGGTGTTTGTCACAGCTCTGCCACTCGCTAGCCGTGTGGCCTTGGATACCCTAGGGCAGCAGTCCCCAACCTTTTTGGCACCAGGGACCGGTTTCGTGGAGGACAATTTTTCCACCGCCTCGGACAGGTACCGGTCTGCAGCCCGGGGGTTGGGGACCGCAGCCTTGTGTGACCCTCATTTTCTCAACCTGCAAAATACTGTGGTCGTCTCTAACTCCTGGTGCCGCGGTACCACTGCGAGGGATAAGTGGCCCAGTACAGGCGAAGCGCAGAGGAGAGCGCTGGCAAGAAGCGCGGAGTGACCGTGAGCTGTAGCTGAGTAAACAGTAGACGCAAGCGTGTGCGCGTATGTAGATTTGCACAGCGGCGGCCCAGCCAACTTAGTAACATGCACACGATTCTTCATCGTTTCCTGTGGGGACCAGACGCTTGCTCTATTCAGGGCCTTTTAAGATTGGAGCACTTGGCACGCGGCCCGTCCCCCCTGTGGTCTGTTCACGGTTGGGTGAGAAGCTCCTGGGCTCCCTACCCCCATTCACACCGAGTTAAAATTCAACTTGAACTTCAGTGAGGTCTGATGTGGACAACCGGGTGACTCAGAGGCCTAAGGACCCGGTGGGATCAATGGATCTCCAGGGCTGTCATCCCTCCCTCCCCTCGGCTCTGAACTGCAGCCTCCAGCACATGGCAAGACAGATCACTGCCCAGCGCCCACAGCCACCGTCTGGGCGGCTCCCGCCTGCCCTGCTCCCGCCAGCTGCTCGCGCTGCCCCGCGCCGCCCCGCCTCCAGCCGCCTCCAGCGGCAAAACACAGCAGCACCTGCTCCAAAGCTGCCAGACCCCACCCTCGCCGGTTGCCAGGTTGTCACAGGCGGTGGAGACAAACAGTTTGCCTCTTCAGACATTTTGTACACCCAGGGCTTCCTGTTTCCTGGGAGCAAAGATTAAAGGCTTTTATAAGTGCTAAAAGTTTTGTTAAGCCCATGCTCTGTCTTGACAAGTGCAATAATGTCTGAATGTTTGATGGCTAATAAAAGTCACTTTCTACAGCAAGACTTACCTTCCCGCAGCCTGTTTTTCACAGTGTTTTATGCCCAAAAAACTTCTAATAGACCCCAGTCTGAGAGGGTCTCAAGTTAGAGCTTTATAGAAATATTCCACATTGAATTTTTAATGAGGCCTTTTTAAAACTTAAAACGTCCTACATGTAAGTAAAATAATTAAACGGTATATGATGATTTAAAATGAAATGTCCTTTGGCATTACTCTCCACTGTTGACAGTTTATTCTACACTTTTCTAAAAGCGAATATTCTAGGCCGGGCACGGCGGCTCCCACCTGTAATTCCAGCACTTTGGGAGGCCAAGGCTGAAAGATCGCTTGAGGCCAGGAGTTCGAGACGAGCCTGGGCAACATAGAGACACCCCATCTCTACAAAAAATTTAAAAATTAGCTGGCTGTGGTGGTATATGCCTATAGGCCCAACTACTCAGGTGGCTGAGGCAGGAGGATCGCTTAAGTCCAGGAGTTCAAGACTGGCTTTAGCAAAAGTGAGACCCTGTCTCTACAAAAAAAATAGAAAAAAATTAGCCAAGTGAGGTGGCACGTGCCTGTAGTCCTAGCTACTTGGGAGGCGGAGGCAGGAGGATTGCTTGAGTCAAGGAGTTTGCAGCTGCACTCCAGCCTGGGTGACAGAGCGAGACCCTCTCTCAAAAAAAATAAAAATAAAATAAAAAGTGAATATGCCAAACATATACATACGCAGTATACATATACATAAACATATAAACAATTACAAGCACATCTCTAGTTACTTCCCTTTCTTATTCAAGATATATAAATGCATATATAATGAAACATATATATGATATTATATATAAATGTTTACTGTATGCCAAGCTCCGTTCTAATTGCTATTCATTTATTAAGTCATGTGACCCACACATCAACCCTATGAGTTGGTATTATTATTTTTCTCACTTTCCAAAATAGATGCTAAGGTCTGGAATGATTAATTACTTGCCAAGGTCATGGCTAGTAAGTGGAGCTGCTGGGATTCGAACCCAGGCAATCTGACTTGAGCACTGGCTTTCTTATCCACAATGCTGTTGCCCTTCAATTGGCATTTTTTGACTTTATATACACACACACACACACACACACACACACATATACATATATATAAAAAATGAATGTCTACCTGTTGGTACATATCTAAAACATTTCATTGGGAGAGGGTAAGAACTTAAGTAATATTTAGCTAAGTTTCAACTCTCATTCATTTTCTTTATAGAGAGTAAACCGCTCTTGGCTAGAATAGTCTACTCCTATCAACTCGCATTGACAGATTCGGCCTGTGCCCCGGTGCAGCCGAACATTCCCTGCTCCAGCCCCAGCACCCTTCACCTTCGCCGTGTTATTTTCACGGCTACATAGTATTGTTTGTGATATATTGATAAATAGGTCGCCTCCAGCTGTAAGATCAATGTTACATTACACACCTTTCTGCAGGAGTTGCTGGGTCAAAGAACAAGCCAAGTAACATTTTATTATACGCTGTCTTTTGCTCCCAGAAGTTTGCGTAAATTTAAACTCTCATCCGCAATGTCTAAAAACAACTATTTCTCCATACTCTCACCAACACAGGGTGTTAACAAACCGCTTCCTGTTTGTCCATTAGACAGGTGGAAAAGTCTCTCCATGTTTTAATTTTTTACTTTCGAACTATGAGTGAAGTTCTGCATCTTTTTATATCTTTATTAGCCATGTTAATTTATTTTTCCACAAAGTGGAAAATCCATGTCTGATGCATTCTTTTTGACTACAAGGTTATCTGAAAATTTCTTTCTTTTTATTTTTAAGTATTATCGGCACATGATCGTTGTATATGTTTATAGGGTGCTTGCGATGTTTTGATACAGGCACAGAATGTGAACTAATCAAATCAGGGTAAGTGGGGTGTCCGTCCCCTCAGGCATTTAACATTGCTTTGTGTCAGGAACATTCCAGTTCCACTCTTTCACTTATTTTGAAGTACACCCTAACTTACTGTTGATTACAGTCACTTTGTTGTGCCAAAATACTTTTAAGTATTGTTTATTCCTTGTTCTATATTTTAAAGAGGGGCTTTGAAATGGGGCATTTATGCTTCCAGTTGTGAAAATCTCCCCTGTCGTTTCTGCCCTGGAGGTGACGGTGCTCCGCAGTGGTTGCTTAGTGACAGCTGCCTGGTCCCGTGCTGCTCAGCCCGGGTTTGGGAGCCCCGCGTGGGTACCCGGCCCCAAGACCGCCTGTGCTGCTGGTCTGTCCAACAATCCCAACGTCCGTCTGCAGTCTTGTCCCTTCTGGTTCTTGGTGAGCTCTTGGCCCAAGAATGGCCGGACACACGCGAAGCAAGGCCGGGGAGAAGGGAAGTTTACCGAGGAAGGAGGAGATGGGTTCACAGAGCAAGACACTGAACGCGCCCCCGTTGTATTATAACAAGAGGGCCTGAAAGTTCTTGACGCTTTGCAAGAGCATTTTGTTCAGTACGAAAACTTACTTTTAGTTAAAATATGTTCTAGTTTTTTCTCAGATTGCTATCTAGCTATTTTGTGATATTTCAATGTGCTTCATTTTTAAATGTGGTTGACTTGTCAGTCTTTCCTTCGGGGCTCCTAGGGGCGCTCACGTGTGTCGCTCCCTCGCTCCTCCCTGGGAGGAGGAACGTTCGTCATCGTCCCACTTCTCCTGGGAGACCTGCCCCAAACACACCGCGAATGACTGTGACATTGGCCTAGACCTCGCACTCTAACCTCTAACCCTAACCCTAACCCCGCCCCCCGTCCGGCCTCCCCCGGGGCCTGGCAGCCCCTGTAACCAGGACTTGGAAATGGTCGTTTTGTTCGCACCGCTCTTCCAGACACTCCTTCAAAACTTGGAAGGAAACCAGCGAACACAAACAAGCACATAAACACACAGACGTGAGCACTGGCCTCTTTATTCAGTTGCTTACGGCGCTGAAGGGGGGAAACTGAGGCTGCCCTGCGCACCGGGGAGGCGACCCCGCTCGCTCCCCGCGACTGAGTCCACCAGACGCAGAGGACTCGGGGACCTCTCGGCCAGGCCCGGCCCGGCCCGTCCCAGACGTCGGACAGGAGCACCGTCCTCGGGCTCCGCCAGCTCAGTCCGGCCGGAACCGAACTGGGCCTGTCCCCCAGGCTGTCCCTTCCCCCTCGCCGGCGAGCGGCCAGGTGGCCCAGCCAAGGGGTAAGTCGTGACGCGCCTCCTGCTGGAGCCTCCACGGTCCGGCGCCGAGACCCCACGTTCCGCGTCCCGGACACTCTTCTCCGGCCCCGCTGTCCCCACCCGGCCCCACGTGTCCCACCGTCGCCGCAGCGCCTCCCCGGCCCCAGTCTCCGCGCGCTCCCCTCCCGCAGCAGCAGCGCCCTCGAGGGTCGTTTCCTCGAGGGTCGTTTCCGATGCAAACCGCGCCCTGCACGCTGGCCCGACGCCTCTGCGCGCCGGGACGGGAGTCCGCGCGGCACACACGCCCACCACGCCGTCCGGGACCCGCCCGGCTGGCCTCAGAGTCGCGGCGCTCCAGGGCCCCTCCCAGGCCCGAACCGGAGTGGGCCGGACGCGGCAGGACCTTGCTCGGGTGCCCAGGACCGCCCCGGGATGAAGGGCCAGCCGGGCCCGGTCTGCCGCCCGAGGCCCTGCCAATCTCAGGGTGGGGCGGGGTTCGTCGGAGAGCTCGGACCAATGCGGGCTCGGGGCGGGGCCAGAGGATGGGGCTGGACCAATGCGGGCTCCGGGGCGGGCCCGGGGCGGGGCCAGGGGCGGGGCTCCTGCTCTTAGCCCCGGAACCCCGCGCCGCCGCCGCCACCGCGCGCGCCGCCCGCGACCCCGCAGCCCGCGCTCCCCGCGCCATGGACCCGGCGCAGGCCGCTGAGACCGGCGAGGCCGTGGCGCGGACGATGCTCCAGTACCGGCGAGACGCGTCAGGGTGGCAGACGTGCCGGGAAGACGTGAGTGGGGAGCTGGCGGGAGGGGTCCCCAAAGCCCCCAGGCTCCTCCTCTGCCCGCCGTTCCTGCACCCAACATCCCGGACGCTGTTCCGTGCACCCCAACATCCCGGACGCTGTTCCGTGCACCCCAACATCTCGGACCCTGTTCTGTGCACCCCAACATCCCGGGGCACAGTGAGAGGGATTCCCGGGCGTGTTTTCTTACAAAAAGCCTGGGCCTGCTGTGCTCGCAGTGACCGCGGGGTCAGTGTCTGTCCCTTTCACTGAGTGACTTGCCCAGGTCGCCCGGCTGGTGCAGGGTGGTTGGATCGAATCCGAAGCGCCAGGTTCCGAAGCCTTCGCTCTGTTCCTTGTAGCACAAGCCCCTCTCTTCGTCGTCCCCAGAGGGTGGAGTGGGAACAGTTTTGCTCACTTGACACTTCTGATTTTTAACAAATAGCCCCAAATTTGCTCGCAAAGAAGGAAGCAAAATGTGTGGTGACTTTAAAGGTGATTGGAAAGCCACCACAGCTCTTGGAGTCGGTCATCGCATTCTGTCGCGGGTGGCTTCGCCCAGCCCAGAGCCAGGCCTGCCCTGCACAGGTTTGGGCGCCTGAGCCAGGCACGTCTCTTGCGGCCTCTGACCCCCTTCTGTAGAGCAGAGGACTGAGGCGGTGACCCCGGAGCACTTCTAGCCCTAAACTTCTGTGGTTCTGTGCCTTTTGACAGAATGGAGTTTCAGTCTCCTGGAGGCCATCTGTGGAGTTTCCGGGGAACCTGTAAGTGCCTGCCTGGCTCAAAGCTTGTGGAGATGTCACACCCTTCCTGGTGTCTCCATGAATCTGCTTCCTGTAAGATTCCAATTGGCCCTAGCAACCTGTGACCCACTTGCCAATTATCTTCCAGAAAAGCACTAACTTACGTTTTTCACCCAGTCATTCCCAGCAGACCATATTCTTGTGAAAGCTGCCATCCCTTTCCGCAGGCCTGAGGGAAGGGGGCAGTAAGTCTCGGCCCCTTCTCTGCCGGCCTGTCCTAAACGGACGTGGTATGGTCCACCCTCTAGCCTTTAGACACAATCCCAAGGTAAACAAGTTCGACTGATGCCTTGGGATCAAATTCCTTTTTTGTGCTCCAGGTACCGAGGAGAAGGCGTGGTGTGGGGGACCCCGGAGGAGGTGTGGGACTGCGTAAAGCCCGCGGCTGGGGGCCTGCGAGAGAAGTGGGATGAGAATGTGACCAGTTTTGAAATTCTCCAGAGCATCACTGATGTAAGTTTCTCCAAGCGTGTTATCCCTGGACAGTGTCTGGGTCCTGGTGCAGTAACTTGACCTTGTCCCCTCTGGAGGGGGCCTGTCGCCCCTTTTGGCAAAGGGCGGTTCCCTGCAAACACAGGCTGCCCACTGCTGGCCACACGCAAGCCCAGCCTTGGCCCAGGGGCAGGGAGGAAGCAGCAGGACTCGGAGAGGCAGGGAAGCCCTAGACAGAGCCAAGAGGATGCAGCAGCTGGCGAGGAAGAGCAGGCTGGCCCTGGGCCCTGAGGATGCTGCCTGGTGCCTGCATTTGGCCCATCACCTCCAGTTTGCAATTGTGTCCCTTGAGGGGGCCGCGCTCGGGAGCTGGGAGAGCCCCGGCTGATGGACCAGGACTGTCTCCCAGCTGTGGGGCTGCGCCACCCAGACCAGCGCTGTTCAGAACTTTCTGTGTGGAAGCAAATGTCCTATGTGAAGGTGGTTAGTTTAAGGACATGAATTGTTAATTCTATTTAATTTTAATTCATCTAAATGTAAATAGCCCCATGGGGCTGGTGGCTACCATATAAGACAGTGGAGGTCTAGATGCATCTGTCCCCGTGTCCTCTGTAGCTTTAAGATCTCGCCTCATTTTGATTACAGAAGTTCAGAAAAAAAAAGTCATAACCAAAAGTAACGAGAAAGTTCCCTCGCTGACCTGTTCGATCTGAATGGTGTCTTGGTTTTGACATCTGTGGACGGGCACCCTTTTGGGTGTTTACGCGGATGGTGTTGCGAGACCTCCAGCAACAGCTGTCAGCTGGTGAGCCTGAGTCTGGACCCGTGGGAGCCAGGTTCAGCCTTGACCGAGAGCTCACACTGCCGTCGTTTCTCAGTTCATTGCCACGGGCGTTTGTGCCGCTGTTTCCCGAAGCACGGGGCACAGACTCCTGGGGTAGAACAGGTGATTTTGAGTCCCGCCGTGAGGAGGGTACCCTGTTTCATTTCTTTAGTCTCTTCGATAGCTGGAAAGGGGGCGGCGATGGGCCTTTGAGGCCTGTTCAGCCCTTGCCACCCTCCTATCTAGCGCAGGGGACCGCTGGCCTCAGGCTCAGAGCGAGAACCTGATGACCCCTCGTGCGTGTATTTTGCAGCTGCCTTTAACTTATGACAAGTGATTCTTTTTTCCATTTCTGATGGTTAAATAACTTCCTTTTAAAACCAACTCACCTAGGTTTTTTAAAGGTGAGCACATTTAGAGAACAATATTAAGTGAACAATAGGATAGAAGATACCAGAGATAGCAAAAAAAAAGGTAATATGCAAATAATTATAAACAAATGATTGAAGTCGAGGAAACAGGGGTTAACGCCCTTCAAAACGTGACACAAATGCGATAACAGGGCTGTATATAGAATTTCCTTCTCAAAGGTAAGGTGGCTGCGTCTTTTTAGCGTCTTTGCACTCCTGTGTCTCAGTACAGCGACTAGTAGGACAAGAGAGAGAATGGAAGGCATAGAAAATCATGCGACACGTGGGCTGCTCAGTGACAAGCGCTGTCATTTACTGAGTCACTTTATACTATGCTGCAAGCTCAGAGCGCTTCCACCGAAACGCTGGGGGAAGGACACAGTTTGACGGAGGGAGAGATGTGCCCACGTTCACACAGGTGACAAGTGGCTCCGGGGAGTCGAGAGCTGGCTGGGGACTCCAGACCCCCAGGCTCCCCATCTCCACTGGTGCCACCTCCCAGAGGAGCCAGAGAACCTCCTGTGACCCCCGTCTTCATCCCAGCTCTGGTTCTGTGTCCTGGTGGCCCGATCCCTCAGAGGCCCCGGAAGTGGCGTGTTTTTCTCATTGCTGCTTTGCAAGCACCTCGCTCGCCCAGGGTGCCGGCACGGCGGGTACCCGGGTGCTCACCTGCACTGACCTCTGCTTGCCACGTGGGGGGAGCTGCGCTTCCCTTCGTGGTCAGCTTGCCCGTGGGGCCGGGTGGGTGATGCTGGTGGGGTCTCTCTTCTCCTCCGGGCACCCTGGCTTGTCCTGGGGGAAGCCTGCCTGTTCCCACCAGCCAGCACAGGACCCCAACCCCTGGCACCCACTCCCTGGAGGCCCGGCCAGTGTCGGTCCAAAGTGGCCCCATGTACACTGCCCCAGCCCAGTTAGTCTGCAAACTTTCTGCTTACGTCCCTCCGACAGATTTTTGAGAAATTATACACCATCCCACACATCCAGTTGACTTGGAACGTTCATTAGCAGCTACATTTTCATAAGTTGCAATGTATGTCATTTTCGACTTGTGATAAGTCTGTCAACTTTGAACAATGACATCATTCTTTTAGATGTATCTAAATTATATATGAATTTTAATTTACTGTCATCCATTTTAAAAATACATGAGCAAATTTTTCCTAGTCAGAAATTGTATATAATTGTTTTCCTTGAACTTAAATTTCCATTCCACGAAGCCTTCTGAATCTTATCCTAATACATGTTTATTCTTGAAAGTCATCATCTTGCATCATAAAATGCATATAAATGGAAATTTACTTTTTAAAAAATCATTTATTTCCTATGACCATAAGACTCTAATTTAAAAAAACTAGATTGAGGTATGATTATAATTTGTTAAAACAACATGATTACATTGTAAATTTTGATGAAGAACTGTTAAACCCAAAAAGTGAAATATTTTGCACCTATGGATGAGATGAATGAGAGCTGTTTTTTCTAATTAATTCATGTGTCCATGAAAAAGATATGAATTCCTGCTAGAAGGATCCAGCCTTCCTCAGACCTAACTGCAAAAAAGAGAGAAAGCACCGACTACTGGTGAGCTCAGGTTACAAAAACAGCAGAGAAGAAATTGACAAGTGCTAGTTCCTTATCAGTCAGTGAAATGGTGAAAATGTGTAGAAAGACCCCTTCCTTGCAGATTGGCATTTCTTAGCATGATTTTTGACAAATCTCAAATGTTGCAATTCTAACATAGGTACATAAATAGATGCATAGGTGTGTGGATGGATGGATGGATGGATTGATGGATGGTTGGATGGATGATTGGGTGGATGGATGGATGGGTGGATGATTGGATGGATGGATGGATGGGTGGATGATTGGGTAGATGGATGGATGGATGATTGGGTGGGTGGATGGATGGGTGGATGATTGGGTAGATGGATGGGTGGATGGATGATTGGATGGATGGATGATTGGGTGGATGGATGGGTGGATGGATGATTGGATGGATGGATGGTTGGGTGGATGGATGGGTGGATGGATGGATGGTTGGATGGATGATTGGGTGGATGGATGGATGGGTGGATGGATGACTGGGTGGATGGATGGGTGGTTGGATGGATGATTGGATGGATGGATGGATGGATGCATGATTGGATGGATGGATGATTGGGTGGATGGATGGGTGGATGATTGGGTGGGTGGATGGATGGGTGGATGATTGGGTAGATGGATGGGTGGATGGATGATTGGATGGATGGATGGATGGGTGGATGATTGGGTAGATGGATGGATGGATGATTGGGTGGATAGATGGGTGGATGGATGGATGATTGGGTGGATAGATGGGTGGATGGATGGATGATTGGGTGGATAGATGGGTGGATGGATGGATGGGTGGATGATTGGGTAGATGGATGGATGGGTGGATGGATGGATGGTTGGATGATTGAGTGGATGGATGGATGGATGGATGGATGACTGAGTGGATGGATGGATGGGTGGATGGTTGGATGATTGGGTGGATAGATGGATGGATGGATAGGATCAGAGCTACACCGTGAGTATGTTACATGTATGACATGTGCTTCTGCCTTCAGTAATTTTTTCCAAAGTCCTCTTCATCTTGGTCTCCAAACACTATCCCTGAGGAATGATGCATTTGAGCATAGTAATCAGGGGTGGAAACAGTGTATTTATTATTTTTTAAAATGTCATCACTGCTACCATTCCTACCACAAAATACCAGAATTTAGAAATGGTAAAATTGCCTTGTGTCTAACACCAAGCTTTGGAATATGCTTAAGAAAGGGAAAAACATGAAATTCTAACACCAGTGTGTAGTGAGTGCCTTGATTAAATATTGCAATCAGTATTCATAATTGTCCCTTTGGTACCATAGGGGATTTTAGACCCTGGGACAATTCGTGGGAGGATGATTCTAGACGGGTGGGGATCTGCCCTGCTTTTTTTCAGTTGGGAAGGGACCCAGCATGCAGGTGCAGCCTGTTCCCAGGCAGGTCACTGTAGGAAGGACACATGCGTGGAATCATCTGGAAGCTGATCTGCAGCGCCCCGGGCATCGCATGCCTGCTTGAAGACTATTCCCTGAGGCCAAAGGCGTCCCTGCCAAAAGGTTTCTCAGCAACACCCGTGCCCGAGTCTGAATACCTGAGGGGGGAGGCAAAGAGGGAGAGGCCTTCACCGATTTCTTCCCACCCGCTCCCCAACTTCTCCCAGGACTGTCCCACCACACGCCTGGCCTGTACTTCCCCACTGGGACCTTGACGGTACCTGGGCCCTGCTCTCCCGCAGGAAGTGGGTAGCAGGATAGGCACAGGGCAGGTTGGGGTGTCCTGGGTCGGTTTACAAAGTGGGAGAGTGGACTGCTGGGATACTCCCAGATTGGGTGAGGTGGAGGGTGCGCCCTCCCAGGGCCAGGACTGGGGTGAGAGCAGAGAGCGGCCGCGGCGCGGCCTTAGACGGGGCTGAGCAGGTGCGGGGTCGGCCTTCGAAAGGAGCGGCCTCCCTCGCGTCTCCCTGTTGGCTGCCCCCTCCAGATGCCGTCTCCACCGTGCGCTTTGTGCTGAATTCCCTCATCTTTCCACGCCTCAGTTTCCTCATCTGTCAGGTGGCTGACTGATGCCTGTTTCTCAGGGTTGAGGGACAGCTGAGAGCTCGGTCCAGCCGGGCCCTTACTCCATAAATGGCGGCTCTGAGGCTCTGTCGTGGGTGTAAGCTCAGCGTGGCCCTGCCGTGCAGCTGGACAGCCACGGACAGCCACGGACAGCCACGGACAGCCCGCGGTCTCACAGACAGCTATTTCAGTCGCGCTCGGCTCCCCCTGGGAAGCCCCACTCTGGACCCCGCAGTTCACGGTGCCACCCTGCTGTCACCACCCTACTGCCACTGCTGCTCCTTTCCCAGAGCCTGGGGGCGGGACGGGGCAGGGAGGTGTCTGAGCAGCAGGAGCAGCGGCGCCCTTTGCTTCGGCAGACGCTGCTGGTGAGCAGGACCTGCACGCCCTCGGCCGCCATGAAGCTCATTTCCCCCCGAGACTTCGTGGACCTGGTGCTGGTCAGGAAGTACGAGGACGGGACCATCAGCTCCAACGGTGAGTGCGGCCCGGCCTCCCCGGCGTGCTGGGCTCTCCTTCTGCGCCCTGTTCCTCACAGAAAGCCAGGCAGCTCAGCAGCCGCAGAAACACCACCCAGAGTTCTTCCCTGCGCCCACCTTGTCGGGTTTGGGGGACTCTGTGCCGCGGGGGTCTCAGACCAGATAGTCCACGCGCCAGTGATGCTGTTTTTAAGCCGCAGGTTTTGTCAGCCCCTTTCCTTCCTGCTGAGGCTCACGTGGTGCCGCAGGCACGCGGGTTAGTCGGGTGACACCAGGCTCAATGTGCAGCCAGTCCCTGCAGCCACGGGCGGCTTCCTGAGGGTTGGCGCTGACCACGCCCTCCCTGCACAGCGGGAAACACAGCCCCTGCCCCGCACAGCCCCTGCCCCCGCACAGCCCTTGTCCCCACACGGCCCCTGTCCCCGCACGGCCCCTGTCCCCACACGGCCCCTGTCCCCGCACAGCCCTTGTCCCCACACGCACGGCCCCTGTCCCCGCACAGCCCCTGTCCCCGCACGGCCCCTGTCCCTGCACGGCCCCTGCCCTGCACAGCCCCTGCCGTGCCTCCAGGTCTTCCACGTGGAGGAGTTAGTGGTTACATCCAGGCTTCTCTGGCTGAAATTTGAGAGGAGAACCTGCCGTCTCCCATCCCCAAACATTGCATTCTGGAATGTTCTTTTTGCTAATATTCTGGCAGGCTTAGGAAAGCTGTCTGCCAGCGTGTGCATGTGTATGCGTGAATGTGTGTGAGTGTGTGTGAGTGTGTGTGTATGTGCGAGTGTCCGTGTGAGTTTGTGTGCGTGTGTGTGGGAGTGTGAGTGTGGGAGTGCGAGTGTCAGGGCCGTGGGCTGGGGGTGAAAGGGAACCCGAGGCCGCGCAGTGCGAGTCCCTCGCAGACTCGCGGGCTGCAGAGGTGGGCTCCGCGTGCTCGGTGGCGCTCGGTGGCGGCGGCCCGATGCTCGGAAGCTGGGCCTCACCGGCCTGCGCTGTCTTTCAGCTACGCATGTGGAGCATCCGTCGTGGCCGCCGAAGCCCGGCTTCGTACGAGGGTTTAACCATCCCTGCGGTTGCTTCTGTGAACCTCTGCCGGGGTAAGGAGCGTTCCCTGCATGCAGGGACGGGCCTCAGACCCGACCGTGGCGTCCCTGTGGGACGTCCTCTGCAAGTGGCACTTTGACCGTAATTCACAAGAGCAGAAACGCCCGACAGCTCGTTAGGCCTTGGTGTCACCATGCACTTCCACTTGTATACAACAGTGGCATAATACGTGGAAGCATCTGGCACACGGGAAGGAATTGTGGGAGGTGTTGTTATTTTTGATGCGAGAAATCCTCCATCCAGCCCCATAGGGCAGATCAGGCAAATGTCGTGGTCCCATTTAGCAGATGAGGAAACTGAGGTTTGGGGAGGTTAAGTGACGTGTCTCGGGTCAAAGGTGAGGAGGTTGGCAGTGCAGGGTGCGAGCTCCAAGTCTTCTCCGAGCACCATCCGCCAGCCTGGAGTGGCTGCGAGTGGCTGTCCCCACCCACGTACCACAGTGGGCAGGGCTCCTTGCCACGCAGCGGGTTGGTGCTCGGAGCTAAGGGCAATCCTGAGGCCGCGCCGTGGGCCCGCCTCAGAGCTGAGCTCATTTCCCCACAGCCATGGCCGGGTTTTACAGGAACTTCTGTGTAAGGAATCACCTGAAGGCCACTAGTTCATCCGGGAACCACCCAAGTTGAAGGTGAAAGAAATTGCCCCGCTGGGTGTGTCCCGGTGTTTCCTGCAGGCCCCGTGCGGGCGCCAGGAAGGGAAGGGGCCGCGCTCCACACACCGTCCCGGGAGCCGGCCTCGGTGCTGGGGGGTTCACTGAGCCCGGACCCAGCACCTCTGAGGAACGCGCCCTGCTAAGCCGGCTCTTAAACCGTGCTGTGAGTGATTTCTCTTCAACGTAACAAAATTTTGAGTTTGAAAGTAGCGTCGCTGTGCTCCGGCACACACGCACGCACGCACCCCTGCACCCAGTTCAGTCCCCTCGCTACACGGGTGCCCCAGGCCCCCTGGCTGGGGCGAGGGCACCAAACCTCTGCCTATGTCCTCGGCAGTCGGGTGCAGGGCTCACCCCTCAGTGGCGCCGGGTCTGAGGGGAGGCGTTTCCGGAAAGAGAGCCAGGGCCTTTTCCTGGGGGCTGCGGCGCGCGCCTGCCTTCCCTCGGGCAGCGGGCACGACATACTGAGCGCCGTCGTGCCTCATGCCAGGCAGCAGAGGTGAGCACGTGGATTCGCGGTGGCGTCATTGGGGTCCCACAAAACCCAGCTGATGCGGGGCTTTTAACGTTAGGTATTGAGTCTGCCGACTCCTGCCCACTTGATGAAAACATTTCGTGTTCTCAGCAGGGCTTTCTGCCGGAGCCTGCCGCACGCCCTGTTCTCATGAGGCCGTGGGTCTGCGATCTATGACGGCCTTACTCCCTGATCACTCTGGGAACACAGGCCTGTTCCAGACACTACGGAGCAGCCGACACTACCAATAATAACAGCGGCAACACTGCCACAGCACTATTGTATCTCAGGCATTTTATATAAATTAACTCACTCTCATCTTTATAAAACCCCAAGGCACTGCTATTATCCCCATTTTTTTAGATAAGGACACTTGGCACAGAGAGGTTAAGTAACTCAGCCAAGATCACACAGCTAGGAAGTAAAAGAGCCACGATCTAAACCAGCCGTCTGCTCCGGATCCTGCTCTTGACCCGGAACGGACTTCTGACACCAGACAGGTGTCCGCCCGCGTGAGGCTCAGACTCCGGTGGGGGCAGGAGACAGACAGGACACAAATGCCGGTGGCTGAGTCAGACGGCCTCGCTCGTGATGACCAGATGGCAAGTGCTGTGGAGCGCACTGGGGCCGGGTCACGGCGCCAGGAAAGGGTGAGAGTGACTCATCCGGGGGTCTCCCCGATAGGGCATTTGAGCAAAGCGAAAACTCGGGGTGTCGGGCCTGTCAGCAGAGGGAAGCGGCCTGGCAGGTGCTTCGTCCCAGAGATGGGAGCAGGGCGGGCGCTCAGGACGGCAGACGAGGCCATGGCCTTGGCAAGGGGACTGGGTGCGCGGGCAGCCGGCTGCTCTCCTCTGGGGAAGACGGGACGCCACGGGGGTTTCGAGCAGGACGAGCTCAGACTCGGGTTTAGCCGCCGTGGTGCCCCCGGGGTGGGGTCCGTGCGAGCGCGAAGGCCCTGGGAGCGCGGCGGCGCCTAGGCCGGCGGTGGCGGCCGCGCAGGACGGGAGAGGTGCTCCGAGGTGAGGAGTCTGCCCGTAGCCGCCGCAGCGCCGCAGGGCCGTTCGTGGAGCCCTCGCTCCGTGTCTCTCCGCGTGATCTCGTTACGTCCTTATGACAATCGTACCAGGTGCCGTTGTCCCCGCCTTCTCCTCTGGGCCCCCGTTCGCCCTTTCTGTTACTGTCACACGATGTGACATGCAAGAGCCACCATCACCACGACCCCATGTGACACACCGTGCTTTCCCTCCCACGTGGCCTTGCACGCGTTTTGCCTCCCCCCGGGGGAACACGTCACTGGCTCAGATTCCTCCCTCCCCTGTTCACGTCCCCACGCCAGAGGCCGCCGGCCCGGCGGGCGGAGGAGCAGGGAGAGGGCGGAGGCCCGGGCACAGGCGGGCCGGGCAGGGAGGGGCGGCGGGCGATGCCAGGCTGTGAGGTGTGAGGAAGTCCCTGGCTGCAGAGGTCACAGCTGCCGCCCGGTCTGTGCCCCTGGGAGGGGCGGGAGGGGCTTTAAAGGGTCTCCAGTTCCAAGCCGGTCGCCTGCATTTTGCCAGGGAACATCTGATGGGCAGGGGCGGTGCCCCCTGCGGTTCCTGATGAGGCTTTGGGGGTGTTGGCAGCTCCGTTCCCATAAGATGCCAGGTGGTCCCGGCAAAGCCCGCACTGCCTTTGCTGACCTGGCCCTTGAGAACTTGGTGACAGCGAAGGCCCCTCGTGTCCCTACCCGGTTGTGTCCGTCTCCACCTACGTGTGTCCCTTGCTGAATCTGAATCTGCGGGTGGCCTCGCCCCTCGGCGCCCTCACGCCAGAGGCCAGGCCTCAGCCCGGGGCCAGCTGGGTGCTGCAGGCCACGCCGCAGGTGGCGGCAGGACGGCCTCGCGCCTCCCGGCCGGGCTCTGTGCCCGGCCCACGCCCCCCGCTCCAGGCACCTGCCGCTCCCGGGGCAAAGTCCCTCACCTGAGCCCAAGCTGTTTGCCGGTTCCCTGAACCAGCAGTTCTCAAAAATGTGGCCTGAGGTTTCACAACACCTTGACTGTAAGCAAGGGCTCCGAGGGCTTTTGTTGGGCAGTTGTAGCCGTTATTATTTAATGTCTTTAAAATAAACACTCTTTAAATATTTATTTTAATATCCTAATAAAAACGTATTACGTATTAACATAAACAGCATTTTTATGGAAAATAACTATATCTTTCGAAACTAAAAAAAGTGAAAAGAGTGGCAACGTTTTTGCATTTTTGCCAATTTCTTTCACGCCAGGCTTCCTAGAGTCCGTGGCCACCTCCACCTTCCGTCTGTGGCAACGTCGCCCGCCGCGTGGCCTCTGGAAAACCACCGTGTGGTTGTGAAAGAATGAAACCGAAAACAATCACATCTTAGTGTTGTCGTGAAAATAGCTGTGACCTTGTTGACCCCTCGAAAGGGTCCCAGGAGCCCGCAGGGGCGTCGGACCCTAAACAGAGGGAGGGCAGCACCCGCGGGTTCCTCGGGGCCTGGCGCGGTCGGCTCTCCGGAAGCATCTGCCGGAAGAATCAGGGAGCAGAGAACTGCCTCTCGGGGCTGGGGGTGGGGGCTCCTCCCTGGCGGGGCTGCGACTCGACGCGCCCTCGAGGGGCGTGTTTCCATCCTGAGTGTACGCGGGTCCGGAGGGGACCCCGGCGGGGGTTAGGTGTGACCCCCACGGCCAGGCCCCCCCAGCCCGTCCGTGCTCGCCCCTCCCCCGCTGCAGACACGTAACGCACCTTGCTGTCGCTTCGCAGGGAGCCCAGCAGGACCAGGCTCGTCACGTTCTTCCAGACCGACCTCGGCGGCTACCTCCCGCGCAAGGTGGTGGACTCCTTCTTCCCCCGCAGCATGGCTGGCTTTTACGCCAACCTGCAGACGGTGGTGAGGAAGTTCCACGAGTGAGGCCGTCACCTGCCGGCAAGGAGCTCCCGCGTGTCGGTGCGGAGCCCCGACTGCTGGGACGCCAGAGCGCCCGGACGCCCCGACCCCGCCGCTGGACCGCGACTCTCTGAGGACAGCAGCCCACCCCCCGCCTCCTTCTCCACCCGGGGCCGGCGCGGGAGGGGCCCTGCCACCCTCTGGCAGGGCGGACCCCGGCCCCGGCCGCACACCGCGTGCTGCCAGAGCCTCCGGGTGGCAGCCACTCTCAGAGACCACGTGTCCCTGCCCGTCAGGGAGAACCGTCGTCGGCGCTGAAAACCAGGCCTCGATGTCTCCTCAGCACCTGGAGCTCGCTCAGACCTGGGCCCCAGGCCCCCAGATGTATTTTTCTGGTGTAGACCCCCATTATTTTAGCACGGCACAAGATTTTTCCCCTTAAAAAGATGTCAACTTGGGAAGTGCTGGTTTAAACATGGGATAAGCATTAAGGAAAAATAATTTTGACATTCCTTTGTTGTATCTTGCGTTCGAATTGGTTGCTTTTCTCCCTCTGCCCCCTCTGGGAGTTAACCTTCCCGTCCCGGGTGAACCCAGGCAGCGGGAGCTGTCCCAGGCCACGTCTGCAGCCTAGAGGGCGACTCCCCGTCGGAAGTGACCGAACAAGGGAGCATTCGTGTCCACGGGGGACGCCGAGGAAAGAGCCTCCCTTCTCCCTCCCTTGGGCGTTGGCCTTCCGTGTCCTCCGTTGCACAGGCCGAGCGAGGCAGCAGTTCTCGGCCTGCAGGCCCGGCCAGGCCGTGTCGCTGTCCGGGAGGATGAAGCGCAGGCCTTCCTCCGGCAGCCCCGGCTCGACTCCTCGTTCCAGACCCCACGGCAAGACAGCACCGCCCCAGGGGGCCAGCCCCCGCGGCGTGTCATCCGAGCCAGGGAGCACAGCGTTGCCGCCTGGACGGGGCCCTGGCAGCCCCGTGACTTCCTTTTTCTCCCTCCGGTCTGGCTGCATGGTCTGGAGAGGGACCCTCTGCCGTTCCCCGGCAACCTCACCTGTGCTTCCACCGCCCGCCTATAAAAACAGTCTCGTGTGTCTGACCAGGGTCCCTTCATTTTGCAGTTCACCAGTACTGTTCCCTGCGCAGGGAATTCCGGAGTCCTCAGCCTCTGCTCCTCCAGAAGGAAGACATTTCTCTTGTGTCACATAGTAACCGCTTCCCCACCTCGGAGTCCTGGGGTGACTGTCTCTTAAATGTCCCAAGATGTGAGCGAACTTTAAAACGCAGCAGCTGGGTGTCGAGGGGCGGGCAGCGTCCTCGTTCTGTGTTCTAGCGCAACTACGCACCCCTCAATCCTGCCGGTAAGAGCAGCCGGCCAACTCCCTTTTCTCATCAGGGGATCTCATCAGATTCTTGCATTGACTTAGAATTCACTCATTCGCTCAGTAAGTACCCGCTGGGCCCCTACCCTGTGCCAAGCACAGTTCTGTGTCAGCTCCTCGTGAGTTGGTCTCCAAATCCGGCCGGTTCTGGGTGCACCAGCCCAGAGCTGTCACGCCTGGCCCTGTGGGCACCAGCCCCGTGCTGCCCTGCCTCGTGGGTGGAAGGCCAGCCCGCCAGCGACATTCCTCCCTGGGCCCAGTGTCGGCACTGCTCCCGCAGGTGGCTGCAGCATCGGGTCGGGCTGGTTTGAGCCCTGGGTCAGGAGCCAGAAAACGTGCGCTTGGCCCAAGCCCTGCCCCTAGAAATTGTGCTCCCGAATAGACATCTCTGCTTTGACTCCTTGTCTTGGAGGGAAAGTAGGAGGCTCGCACACCAGTCCCAGCGTGACCCGCCGGAGTGTGGGCGCGAGCGGGGGCTGTGTGACCCGGCGACGTGCTGGGCGAAGCAGAGACACAGCGCTGCCCAGGAGAGCCGGTTCCGTCCACGGGTAGCTAAGGCGGAGCTGCGACGGTTCGCTGCGCCGTCCGCAGTGTTCGAGGCCAGCTGGAAACATCCAAAGGCGTATCCCGTGCCCGCGTGAGCGCGGAAGGGGTTGGCTGGGCGGGAGCTGGCCCTCCTGCTGGTTCCCCCCCTCGGCCCCCTCCACCCGGAGGCCGGAAACCTGGGCTCTGGTAGCTGCGCCCTCGCTGGCCCCATCTCAGCTAGCGAGGGGGGAGCCGTCGAACTCGGGCCGGAGACAGGAGCAGGCCCTGGGAGGACCCTGGGCCCACCTGGGTCTCAGCCTAGTCTGCAGGTGACCTCTGCCCCGTCCACCCACTCGCCCAGCCTGGTCTCCGAGGGGATCTTCCTCGGGGCCCCCGCTCTGCCCTGTCCCCCCTTCCAGTCTTGAGAGAGACCCTTTCCCTTCCCCCGGGCTTGCCCAGGTTCATCACGTGGCTGCTGGATGAGACCGGAACAATTCCCGGCCTGTACAACGTCACCGTGGGCAGAGGCAGGGAGGGGTGCGGGCAGGGCTGCGCCCTCTGTCTCGCCAGGCCTCCTGGCCCAGCCCTGCGCCGGCGCACACCAGCCCCTGGGGAGCGGCTGTGGGACTGGGTCACACCTGCTGCTGGTCACCACGTTCATCTCCAGTGTCTATTAAATGCAGAAAGCTGACACAACTGCCGTCTGGGTTCTGGTTCCCTGCTGTCACTGCCGACACGGCCAGGGCGGGATGAGCGAGGCAGCACACAACCTGCTCGCGGCCATCGTTCCTCGGGAGGAAGAAGGAGCTGACGCCGCGCTCGTGGAGTCACTAACAGGGTTCGCATGAAGCTTAGGGCCCCGGCGGGTTTCCTGAGCGCACCGCCAGCAAACAGGCCTCACCTTCCTGTGGACCCTGGGAAGCCACCGGCCTACGTCAACACGGTCCCATCGGCGTTTCCCGGGCACAGCTACTCTGTGTTGTCTGTGGCTGACGGCACATCTCCCCGTCCTTACTTCACGGGAGCAGGGCCCAGGCCTGGCAAGGCTTGCTGGTCGTTGCTGACACCAAGTCACATTTCCTTGTCCTGAGCTTGGCAACCAGGTGCTAAGAAAGGACCAAACCAAACATCCCTTTGGTCGGGCACTCGGGTGTTTTCCCTACAATGTTCTGCACTTAGAGCCTGTAGGCCTGCTTCTGTCACCAAATCACAGGACAACGGACTCGATCCCTGCCTGTCACTCACCAGCTGGACAAGCCACTCACTGTCCCGTGTCTCGGTGGCCACATCAGGGCACTAGCACAGAACCGCGTACTTTAGAAGCTGCTGTGCTCGCTAAAGACAGTGCCCAGGTAAGCTTGAGCCGTGTTTGGCATGTGGCGGGTGACTGGCAGCAATTTTTTTTTTTTTTTTGAGACAGAGTCTCACCGTGTTGCCCCGGCTAAAGTGCCGTGGCGTCAGCCTAGCTCACAGCAACCTCAAACTCCTGGGCTCAAGCGATCC